TCCGATTGGATCCCCAACGTGCCGACCCCGTGCGCCTGGCGCGGCGTCACCTGCTCCCCCGAGCCCCGCCGCGTCACCGCCCTCGACCTTGCCGACGCCGCCCTCTCCGGCACCCTCCACCTCCCCACCCTCACCTCCCTCCCATCGCTCCACACACTCGTCCTACGTGGCAACTCCTTCTCTACTTTCAACCTCACCGTTTCGCCGTTTTGCACTCTCCAAAAACTCGACCTCTCTTTCAACAACCTCTCCGGCAAGTTTCCTTTCGCAAACCTAACTCCGTGTAACCGCCTCACTTACTTAAACCTCTCAAATAATCTCATAACCGCTGGGCTCGGCCCCGGGCCCGGCCCTGGGCTTGGGCTTTCACTGGCCCAACTCGACTTATCCAGAAACCTTCTCTCCGAGGTGAGCCTTCTCGTCTCCGCTCTCGCGAGCTCTACTCTCGTTTTTCTAAACTTCTCCGACAACAGACTCGCGGGTCAACTCAGCGAGTCGCTTGTTTCGCGAAGCGCGAACCTCTCCACGTTGGACATCTCTTACAACCTTCTCTCCGGAACGGTGCCGCCTCAGCTGGTCAGTGACGCCGTTCAGGTTCTCGATTTCTCCTTCAACAACTTCTCGCGGCTGGATATCCTCACGTGCGGGAGCCTCACACGGTTGAGCTTCTCGCGCAATGTGCTCTCCGGAAACGAGTTTCCGCGCGGGTTGACCGGCTGCTACAACCTCGAGGATCTGGATCTTTCTCGCAACGAGTTCGGCCCCGAGATTCCGGGGGAGATTCTTCGGAGTTTGACGAGCTTGAAGAATTTGTTTCTCGAGCGGAACAAATTCTCCGGCGAGATTCCGAGCGAGCTTGGAAGGCTCTGTGAAAATCTCGTTGAACTTGATCTCTCCGAGAACATGATTTATGGTGAGTTGCCTTTGAGTTTCGTGAACTGTTCTTCACTGCGGAGTTTGAACCTCGCGAGGAACTACCTCTCTGGAAACTTCCTCGTTTCCGTGGTGAGCAAGCTTCAGAGTCTTGAGTATCTAAACGCGGCGTTTAACAACATAACGGGACCGGTTCCTTTGTCGCTTGTTAACCTGAAACGGCTTCGGGTGCTGGACTTGAGCTCGAACCGGTTAAACGGCAATGTTCCGTCGTCGTTTTGTCCTTCCGAGTTGGAGAAGTTGATCCTCGCTGGCAATTACCTTTCCGGGACGGTGCCGTCACAGCTCGGTGATTGTAAGAATTTGAGAAGCATCGATTTCAGCTTTAACAGCTTGAACGGTAAGATTCCGTGGGAGGTTTGGGCTTTGCCTAACCTCTCTGATTTGATTATGTGGGCCAATAATCTCACTGGGGAAATCCCAGAGGGAATTTGTGTTAAAGGAGGGAACTTGGAGACTTTGATTCTCAACAATAACTTTATTTCTGGGTCAATTCCGAAGTCAATTGCGAATTGCACCAACATGATATGGGTGTCGCTGGCGAGCAACCGGTTAACCGGGGAGATACCGGCTGGGATTGGGAATTTGAATGCATTGGCGATTCTCCAGCTGGGGAACAACTCGCTGAGTGGAAGGATTCCACCGGAGATTGGCAAGTGTAGGAGGTTGATATGGTTGGATTTGAATAGCAATAACCTAACTGGGAATATCCCGTTCGAGCTTGCTGATCAAGCGGGGTTGGTTATCCCGGGTAGGGTTTCAGGGAAGCAGTTTGCGTTTGTGAGGAACGAGGGTGGGACTAGTTGCAGGGGTGCTGGTGGGTTGGTTGAGTTTGAGGATATCAGGACAGAGAGGCTTGAGGGTTTTCCTATGGTGCATTCGTGCCCGTTGACGCGGATTTACTCCGGTTGGACCGTGTATACTTTTGCTTCCAATGGGAGCATGATCTACCTTGACCTTTCCTACAACTTGTTGTTTGGGAGTATTCCTGGGAATTTGGGTGGAATGGCCTATTTGCAGGTGTTGAATTTGGGGCACAATTCGTTGAGTGGGAACATTCCAGATAGTTTTGGTGGTTTGAAAGCAATTGGGGTGCTTGATCTGTCTCATAACAGTCTTAATGGGTCCATCCCTGGGTCATTGGAGAGTCTTTCTTTTCTCAGTGACCTTGATGTATCTAATAATAATCTCACTGGGTCCATTCCTTCTGGAGGTCAGTTTACAACTTTTCCAGCTTCTAGGTACGAGAACAATACTGGCCTTTGTGGCCTGCCGTTGCCAGCGTGTGGTGCTTCGAAAAGTCGATCGGTGGGCGTTGAGGGTTGGAAGAAGAAGCAGCCTGTAGCAGCTGGGGTTGTCATTGGTTTGCTCTGCTTCCTCTTGTTTGCGCTGGGGCTTGTGTTGGCTTTGTACAGGGTGAGGAAGGCGCAGAGGAAGGAGGAGATTAGAGAAAAGTATATAGAGAGTCTTCCGACCTCGGGGAGCAGTAGTTGGAAGCTTTCCAGCTTTCCTGAGCCTCTGAGCATCAATGTCGCCACCTTTGAGAAGCCTTTGCGGAAGCTGACGTTTGCACATCTTCTAGAGGCTACAAATGGTTTCAGTGCTGAGAGTTTGATCGGTTCTGGGGGATTTGGTGAAGTGTACAAGGCTAAGCTGAAAGATGGCTGTGTTGTTGCCATCAAGAAGCTCATTCATGTGACAGGTCAGGGAGATAGGGAGTTCATGGCTGAGATGGAAACTATTGGGAAGATTAAGCATAGGAACCTGGTTCAGCTTCTGGGTTACTGTAAAGTTGGGGAGGAGAGGCTTCTTGTGTATGAGTTCATGAAATGGGGAAGTCTTGAGGCTGTTTTGCATGAGAGGGCAAAAGGTGGAGGTTCAAAGCTTGATTGGGGTGCAAGAAAGAAGATTGCCATAGGGTCAGCAAGAGGACTTGCATTTCTTCACCATAGTTGCATTCCTCACATTATACACCGGGACATGAAGTCCAGCAACATTCTTCTTGATGAAAATTTCGAGGCTAGGGTTTCTGATTTTGGCATGGCAAGATTGGTTAATGCCCTCGATACTCATCTCACTGTCAGCACACTTGCCGGAACACCCGGTTATGTACCCCCTGAGTACTATCAGAGTTTTCGATGTACTGCAAAAGGGGATGTCTATAGCTATGGTGTCATACTGCTTGAGCTTCTATCAGGGAGAAGACCAATAGACTCATCTGAGTTTGGTGATGACAGCAATCTTGTTGGATGGTCTAAGAAGCTTTACAAAGAGAAAAGAATTAATGAAATACTTGATCCTGATTTAGTTGTGCAAACATCTAGTGAAAGTGAACTATTGCAATATTTGAGAATTGCCTTTGAATGTCTAGACGAGAGACCATACCGGCGTCCTACAATGATACAAGTGATGGCCATGTTCAAAGAGCTTCAGGTTGACACAGATAATGATATGCTTGATAGCTTCTCTCTGAGAAACCATGTCATTGATGAAGCATGAGAATAGGATCTTTACTGTTATGACTCAAAGCCCTTTGACAGTTGTCGAGGAAACAAAAAAGCACTCAACATTTGGAGTGTTGCTGGACAAAGTTGACAATTCTGGTGACACTGATCTATCCTATCTGAAATTGGAGGAGGGTTCTTGCACCTTTTTTTGTTGTATATAAGACACTTAATGAGACCAAGAGATCGGAGGCAATCATGGATTGAATGGTTGGTTGGAACTAGTGGTTGTAGACAGAGTTTTGCATGTTATTTTTGTGCTGATCTAGTGTTCAGCCACTTGAAATTGGTAGATATATAGACTTTTTTCCTATGAACTTCTGTCTCTCCATCATCGACCCCACTTTTGCTGACGGTCAATATTTTGTTTGCCATTTCCCTTGGGTTCTGATACTATACAGTTTTGCTCATTTTGTGTTTTGGTTGGTATTGCAACTGGCAATTTTTATTGTTTGTAGAAATATAGAATCTGTTGTAAATATAAATGAAATCTGCTATGGGCTTACTGTTTATTTGGTTTTACATTTATTTGCGCATGCTATTCCTCAGTTGTATGGAATTATAACTGCATGTTATCTGGATTAACACCCAAGGATCAATGTTCTGTAAGATAAAATAGAGGTTAAAGTTTGAATAGCAGTCAACAGACACATTTTCTCCTTTCAGGCTTCTTATTAACAACTCAAATTTCAAATAGAATCCTGATAACCTTTTTATTAAGCATATTCCCCGACTATTGCTCATATGATGATGAGAAGAATTTATGGGAATGTCAGTGCTGGTGCTATGGCAATTACTAGAATGGTATGTAGTATTATTTTTGTCGCATTTTGGAATATTGAAGTGCATAAAAACCACCTACGGAGTTGCACTCTATAGCATGCAGCATTATTTTATTTTTTTTCCTTACACTTGTACTCTATATTTAATGGTAATTGCTTTTTTGTCCTAACTCTGATGCTTCCAATTTTCCTAGCATACCAGTTATTTCTAATGACTTGTTATAAAATGCCCTTCATTGATATTTCCAAACACCATGAAGTCATGAACTGATTTTATTCCTTCTGTGGACCCCGGGTTGGTACCTTGCTTATTGAACTTACATCTTAGACCATTTGATTCTCTTAATCCATTGCTATTACACAAAGCACATTCAGCGAACATCTTCATCATAGTTATGCATATTGAAGTTTGGCAACCTGTCTTTACTCCGTACAGAGAAGATGAGTGAATTTGAAACTTTAATATATTCCTATTCAGACTAGATTTAGATGAAGTTTCTTAAACATTTTTATGTTGTTTGCTAATCAAAATTTAAGTTTAATTTTAGTGATCTAAACCAAAAATGTTAACAATAAAAACCATTACCAAAATAAAACTCAAAATATGATTAAAGAGAGACACTATCTTGTTCGAGTAATAAATGTTATAACTGAGCACCGATGTTGAAGAGAATCTTTATGAAATTCAATTAATAATTAGCTGCTTGCCATGTTCAAGTCAAAGTTCAAAAGAAGGAAAATGCCTAATATGCACACTTTTAACTTAACAAAAATATTCAATTTAGTCTGTTAAAACTTTCAAAACAAGCCAGATTGTCCTCAAAGTCCCAGCAGGTACAAGACAATGTTCATCGTGGCTCAAATTGTCCAAAGTTTGATCGACTTTGCCACTTAAAGTAACGTATTTGGTCAGATTTTTGTCTGTGAATGGTATATGGCACTTCTGTCAAATGGATTAGCTGTCATTTGGAGGACTAATTGGCATACGTTGAGAGATAGAACCATCTTACACAGTTATTCGTTTTCAAATCCAAGGATGAAATTGCGAATCATGTAATGTTGATTGGTATAAATTGGACTTAAAAGAAATAGCATTATCATACTACTGGTCAAGAATCTATTCTAAATCACTCTGCTTTGCTCCTTGCATTATGTTTCTTGACTCAACCAGAAACGATTGCTGTGATGAAGTTTATTCATAGACATCATGTACCACAGAATATTATAGCTCGTGTGAACTTTTTTTTAAGTCGAAAATTTAGTCAACTGAATACTAAAAACTTATCAGAAACAAGATAAGTCTTGATGTTCAAAGAACAATAACAGAATATACACCAAAAAAAATCCGCATATCAACATCAAAATGCAAATTTGACTACGTATGTCCATAATTTTTACAGTAACTTACGTTGTCATCAAAACTTATGATTTAATAATTCAGACTCCCATTAGTAGGTCAACTGTAATTATGTTAATATGCTCTGATTATTGCAGATATTAATCTGCAGGTGATCCAGTGTTACCTTATTTTGCAATCATAATGATGGATTAATCAATTCTGGTCCAAATCAGACACTGCTTCATTATACAATAGTAGAAAATACATATACAAATTTTATCATAAGGCATCGATTTTGCTTGTAAATTTCATCAATCAACTTAACGTTTTAAACAAATTTAATTTAAATAAAAAGTATATAACTTGCTATTTCACAATATTAATAAAAACAAAAGCAGAACAGAATGCTTTTAATATTTATTTATTTTAGACCTATATTTTCAACTAAACACAGACGAAATTTCTAAGATTTAAAATTACAAACCAGTGCATCTCAATAATCACACATTTTTTCGTTGTTGAAATTGTTACTATTTATTTAATGACATAAAGTTAACCACTCAGGATGTGTTTGGATATCCGTTTTAAAAATCTGTACTTACACATCTCAATATCTTAAATAGAGAAACAATAAAATAATAAATTGAAAAATAAAAATAAAAAGAATAACGTGAATTATATTCAATTGAACTGGATTATAAACAAACTCCGAAATTTTGAAACTGAATTATATATACAATCATCTGTAATTTAAGCTAAGATGTCACACTAGTTAAGTAGTCCTGGTGAATGTTTTTCACAAACTAGTATTTTAAAAAAAAGTGTGAAGGTTTTTGCTATGAAGCAAATTATAAACAAAAATCAAGAAAATCTGCAAACAATTTTGCATGTGTTGGGGGATTTTTTTTTTCCAAACAAAAATTACAAAATACTCACGACATAATTTAAAGGAAAATTGGAATTGCTACGAGTTTTCCTACAAGAAAATAGGAACTTCAGCAGACAACTTGAATTTTCCTATGAATTTTGCTAAAATTTGCATAAAATATTTGTAGGAAATTAAAAAATTGCCTTTCTTTTTCTCTAGCCAAAAAAAAAAAAAAATCAAAGAGAAATGGACTCACCCATTACATTATTTTTTTTCGTCATTAATTTGTTTCTTTAGGTACATCAACCCCTAAATTATTGGGCACAACCCCTCTATGTGAATAACCATTGGCACCTAGAATGCCCTTTTCATCTTCCATCTCCATCTCCATCCACTTTTTCTTTTATCTTCTCCTTTTCAGTGAAGCTTTCTCCGTTACCCGCCTCCATTGGTTGTTTAGTGGCAAACCCTAACACATTACATATTATTTCAAGTTATATCATCTTTATTATTTACCAATCTCTAAAAATGTTACATTTTCACTAACACAAAGTGATTTTCATGCTTAGGTTTTTTAATTAGGTTCTATTTTCAACTTAAGTATGGAATGAGTGAATAACGAGCTCATTAATCTGGTTAAGAGTTAAAGTTAACGATAATTTATATTAAGATGACAAAATGTGTTAGACTCAGTTGTTCAACCTTCTCAATTCGTCTAAAAAATGGTAGGATGAGATAGTAATTTTAACCCGTTATGTCTAACATGTCAATTCAACAAGCTAATTCGCTAGTATGCTTTAAAAATGTATTTATACATTAAAATTAAAATAAAATAATTATAATTAAAAATATTATATTTTTTGTATTATTTTATTTAAATATATAAATATATTATAATATTAAAATTTAAATTATAAAAATTAATAAAATAAATTTAAATTATTAATTATAATTAGTTATTTTAACATAAATATAATGATATTATAATTTATCTAATAAAAATATGAATTAATAAAAACTTAAAAATTATTCATATAAATAAAAACTAGTGATTTGGAGTCTGTAACCGACTATGTGACCCAACCCATACTGCCTATTGTTTATGGATTAGAAGTAGGATAAACCAAAATAAGATGTTTTATCATCTTTAATTTATATACACCTTTTTTAATTAATTGAGATGTCTTTTAACGATAAAATATAATAATAAAGTAGAATAATATATCAAGTTTGAGAAAATATTAGTTACAAATACTACTCAATTAAAACTTTACTAATCAATGTTAAAATAATAATAATAATATATTTTGTTTTAAAAAGATGCATCTATTTGTCATTTTCTAATTATCGTTTTGTGGAGGTTATTATTTCGCATTACGTACATAATATATTATATATGCCACTCTTTGTCCTACATATAAGCCTGAAACGTCCTTGGAAATGTCATTAACTTTTAATAGTATATTTATTTTAACAATTTAAGTATTTGTGTGAAATTTATATCAAATATTTAAATCTACGTTATATTATAAAACCCACATATTAAAGTAAAAAGTTAATTACAACAATATCATATGAAATTTGATGTAATTAACCCTTATTTGGACACTCCTATCTTAATTTTGTTAATTAACCATTTATTATTAATATTATTCTTTTACATTTAGTTTAACATAAAATTATCCTAATAGAAATGAATTCCCAAAAGCTCTCTAAACTTTTAAAAAATGAAACTATATATTACTCGATTATTTTAATTTATAAAATTCAATAACAATACTTAATGCTTTAAAAAAAAATACCTAAAAAAATACGACATACAAATAGAAAAAAAAATCAATTGTGTGAAAAAAAATACTAAATGAAATAACAAATTATGTGTCAACAGATTCACATTAAATTATTATTAAAAAATAATTAATATAAATAGTAAATGAAGTTAATTTAATATATAATTATAATTAACGTTAGGAAGTGTTACTGTAATTTACTTAAAAAAAACAACTAATTTAAACCATTAAGTTACACATTAATTATGAATAAACAAACAGTGATACTATTATGTACACATATAATTAATAATAACAACACAAATTCATGATTAAGAAATTAAAAAGTCATGGCATGATCATTTAAGTAGGGACAGGATAACAGTTAATTTTGTAATTATAAAAATAACACGAGATTCGTTACCATTTATGATGATGATATCTGGTTTGAATATAATTGTATTTTATTTTACTTTAATTTTTTTAAAAATGTTTTTATTATTTTGTTTTAATCCTTTTAATTAACTATTTATAGTCTTATGATGGGTAGATAGATAATTTAATTTTAGTCCTATCCAATTTGATGCAGATAATTTTGATGGAATCACTGTTAAATAAAAAACAAAATATTACTTAAAATATGATAAGGATATAAAATAAAAAATTATAATAGTATAAGAATAAGGATCTTTTACTTTAGAATATTTCTCCTAAACAAAAATAAGAACCTTGATTCCTCATATATTTAAAAATGTCGATTAAGTGATTTTCATTCTCATTTAATAAATAACCAAATGGTTGTCTTAGACATATATTAGTGATATTTTGACAACCAGAAACCATATAACTATTCAAACAATTTACATTTATTAATATAATAATCTATAGACTGATTTAATAAAAATAAAAATAAAATAAAATTATTATTATAATATTAAACACAAAGTTGTTTACAGAGTTATATGAATTTGGGTTGGAAAAGTATGATTTTCCATTCATCAATAATCATGCAAGAGAATAACAATCTCTGGTTCTCAATCAAAGGGTTTATTCAGATTTTATGAAAACAATTTGGTTCAGTTCATTACAAAGTATATATAGGGCCAAATTTGTGACACAAATGGAGTGAGATTTGTTACCCTAAATTGGGAAATAGGAAGTGGTGGACAGCCACAGTATTAAAAACTAGCCCTTTTACGACCTTCACACACACTACCCATTTCTCACTCTCACACCTTCGTTCACACCCACTATGTAATAATGATTCTTTTCACCTTTGCTAAATTTCAGTTTCAATCATTTTAACCTAACCAAAGTTTAGATATAATAAGCAAAACTCATATATACCTTACTATGCCAAAAATGATTGGAAAAGAAGTCACATTTCACCCTATTTTAACTTGTGTTAGAGGGAAAAAAGGCATTGTCATGTAAAATTAACCGTCATTACTAAAAGGGTAATTACTAATTAGTTAAATCTCTTAATTAACTCCACTAATAACCAAAAACAACACGGTTTCTCATTTCCCACAACTAATGACTACAAGGCCAGCTGTTATGGTTGTAGTGAAAGTGACAAAAATGGAACTACCAACTCAATCCCTAAATTTGGAGTGGAAACAAACACTACAAATATGCACCATTTTAAATTTAGAATATAATAGGATCCATTTTTGGTCTAATGTTTTTTTTTTTCAAAATTAATTTTACAAAAAATATTTATTATAAAAATAAATAAATCACCATACATTTTATTAAACATGTTTTTTTTTAATAATTGATGAAACTTGATTAAAGAGTAATGAATTTGGGTGAAAGTGAAGAAGATAGTGTGTTAAGAGAGGAGCTAAAAGAAAACAAAAGAAGAATTTGGTTTGGGTGTGGTGTTATTGATTAAAATTAAAATTGAAAAAGAAAGAATTGAAAGGGAATGAATAAGTGTCTGAAAAGAGAATTAAAGATAGGATATGTTTGTGTGTCAAAGATTCCTTTGATTTTTGAGGTCCACCACCATTTCTCAATAATCTCTCTTTTCTCTTCCACCTTCCCCACAAAGTCCTTCTTTCTTTCCCTTTTGCTTTAACAACAGTTGCTAATAATTTTTTCATTTTCCAAATTAACAACAATGGCATGTATTAATTTAAGCTTTTAGAAATAATAAATTTATTTATGCAATAAAAAAATTGGGTTCTCTTTTTGTAACTATTCTCCTCCCTCTTCCTCCTTCTTTTCCTCTTTCAACAGCACAATCATTTCATTACATTTCTATATTTTGAGAATTATTTCTAGACACACAACACAGCACAGCCAGAGACACAGACGACAACAACAACTGACAGGAACAACAACATGGTAAGATAACAAAGTTGGATCAAATTCCATTAACCAAGAAAACCAACCAACAAAAACCCAGATAACTGGTTGGGTCGGGTTCGGGTTTTCTGGATCCGCTTCTCTGGTTCAACAGTTATTGTTGCGGGGATTATAGTGGTCGTGGTTCTTCACTTTCAGGAATCTCGATAATTCATCGTTTTCTAGGTAAACTCATTCATCATTCTCTCTCGTTTGTCTCTTTCTCTTTCTCTCTCCGTCTGGTTTTGTTTTTTATTTTTTATTTTCTCTTTTTTTTTTTTTTGTATTTTTGCCTTGTTTGTTTGGTGATTTAAACGATTTTGAAACAATGTTGTTGTTCGTTGCGTTTGATGAATCGGGTCGTGTTTTTTGTGTTCGGTTTGGGTTCCTTTTTGTCCCATTTTTGGTTTTTATTATTTTCTTGTTGTGAGGAGCGGATATATGAGAAAAAAACAGGATCTTTTTTTAATTGAAAACTTTGAGATTTTGTCAAATGGTGAATGAGCAAAGTGGGGGGGCATGGATTTTTGGAATTTTTATTGTTGAAAGCATTGTCCTGTGATGATGCATGTTGGCGGGGTTGTCTTTTATTTTGTCAGCAAATTAAGCAAATTGCATATATGTTTGTAAACAAAATCATTTGCTTTTTCTTTTGAGTAGTTGTCATTTTGTGTTGCTGGAGCTCAAGGTGGGGTTTCTATGTTTTCGCATTATTTTTCAGAAATTTATTTTATCAGGTTAGGTGCAGCTAGGGTGAGGTCTGAATGGCTGGGATTGATGATAATGTTGCCCTTACTGGTGATTGGGGTCTTGCTAGCCCAAGTCCAAGAACATTTTTCTCCAGAATGTTAGAGGAAGACACTGTAACAAGATCAATCTCAGAACATTCTGGGAGTGGTAGAACTGGGGAATTCTTTTCAGGACCTTATGAGCCTAGTGAGAAAGGGAAGGGGAACATGAAGGATGGGGCACAAGATGGTGATTCTGGAGCCCAATTGACCAACCCGAGATTTCAGACTGAGCAGAAGTCGAATTCCCGGGGTGGTCTTGTGGAAAGAATAGCTGCTAGAGCTGGGTTTAATGCTCCAAGGCTGAACACTGAAAGCATTAGATCTACTGACCTTTCGCTCAATTCCGACATTCAGTCTCCTTACTTGACAATCCCGCCCGGTCTCAGTCCTACAACGCTTTTAGATTCTCCAGTGTTCCTTGCAAATTCACTGGTAAGTTCTGCTTTATTTGTGCTGTGATGTTCTTGTTTATTTCTTTATCAAATTTGTTGTTTGTCCTCTCAATCCAAGAGAAAAAGGGGGAACGAATGAAAGTAAGGGATATAGGATGGATCCTAGATGTGGCTGTTTGCATGCTACACTACATTACAAAGCACACACCACTATTGCACCTCATGTGTATGTCTGATAGGATAGACAACAGTATGCATGGCTGTGTATTTAATTCTTTTGTGTAATATTTATGTCGTAATTTGGACAATCTGAGGATTCATGAGGTCATTTCTTCAATTTGTATAATGGTTTGCTATGTGACCTCAATTTGTCAATTTGTCATGTGTGACCTTTTCTGATTCACTTCTAGGATTTTCATGCCTGCGCTTTCTTCCTATGTTTCTTTTCTGTCCTTTCTTAAATGCCTCAGAATTTCATTACGGGCATGCTGTTTGGTTAATATGATAATTCTTTCTGACATCATAATTTTGAAGTATCCTCTAGAACAGGTAAAAAAAAAAATATCATGTCTCATTGTGACTTTTTCCTTGTGACAACAGTAGGTATTGCATTAAGTCAGAGTATATGATTATATCTAAATGTACGTTTGTACTTTAATCTTCGAGAAAAATGTTAGTTAGGACCCTGTTATCTTGCTAATGGTATGTGACTACTATGCTTATACTTTGGTTGTTTGATTTTCATTTTATAATGTTTCTCACATTCTCAAACTTGAACACTATAAATTGCTTATATTCTTACTGCTTTGCATTCTGTGCAATGAGGCACCTTTTTTATGCTCTACACATGGTGTTGAATTTAGATTTTAGAGTCCTAAGTTATCACTTTTCCTTTTACATTCAGACAGAGGAACCAATAGTGGTTTATCAGCTGTTGTAGGAAACTGATACCTGGTTCTGTTTACATTGTTCTGCCTCATATTGAGCTATGAATCTGTCTAATTTCAGGCACAGCCATCTCCAACTACTGGAAAGTTCCTGTTCATGTCAAATGGCAACATGCGCTCAGAATTATCATCTGATGCTCCAGAAAAATGTGAAGATAATGGCTTTGGGGATATCTATACATCATCTTTTGCTTTTAAGCCTGCAACAGGCTCAGGCTCCTCTTTTTATCATGGTGCTGGAAGAAAAGTAAGCACATTCTAATAATAATTTTTTTACTACCGAAATATAGATACTTTTTTCATGACATATTACTTTCCAGTCAAACACCCCATGTCATTCGCAGTTATGAAATTATTGATATTTTGAAAGTTAGATATCTTCTGATGCACATTGTATGGGATTGTATGTAGTGAGTTGACACTTGACAGTATGTCTTGACAATGATATTTAGATCTATTTCTCCTTTTTGGTCATTTACTCTGGCCTCTGTTTGCAGATAAATCCAACTACACTTCCTCAACAATCCCGTCCTGGGATTGAGGTTTCGGCTCAGTCAGAAAATTCTTTTCAATCTCAAAGTGTTGATGCTGTCAAAGTTCAAACTGAGAACAAAATTGGTCTTCAGGCAGACTATGTCGAGTCGCCTCCTGAAAAAGATACTAAAATGTTCCCAGCTGATCAAAGGGCTTTTGATGCTGTTGGTGCTGGCATTGAACATTCTACACCAATTGAAGAACATGGAGATGAAGAAGGAGATCAAAGAGGCAATGGAGATTCAATGACCGGTGGTGTTGGTGGTGCGCCATCTGATGATGGATATAACTGGAGAAAATATGGCCAAAAGCAAGTTAAAGGCAGCGAGTACCCTCGAAGTTACTACAAGTGCACACATCCAAACTGTCAGGTTAAGAAGAAAGTAGAACGATCCCATGAGGGCCATATAACTGAGATCATCTACAAGGGAACACACAACCATCCAAAACCTCCACCAAATCGCCGGTCAGGTATAGGTTCAGTTAACCCTCATACTGACATGCAAATCGACAACCCTGAACATGTTGAACCACACATTGGTGGTGATTGTGACATGGGCTGGGGTAATGTACAAAAGGGAAATATAGCTGGAGCTGCTAACTGGAAACACGAAAACCTTGAGGCAACATCATCAGCATCTGTTGGCCCTGAATACTGCAACCAGTCCACCAATTTGCAGACTCAAAATGGTACTCACATTGATTCAGGAGAGGCAGTTGATGGATCGTCTACTTTTTCCAACGAAGAAGACGAAGACGACCAAGGCACTCATGGTAGTGTATCATTAGGTTATGATGGGGAAGGAGATGAATCAGAGTCTAAGAGAAGGTGTACTTACATACCAGTTGTTTTTAATTTTTGAAACCTAATATTTATTTGTCTAACATATTGAAATCCATGATTTATTTTCTCAGGAAACTGGAATCATATGCAGACCTGAGTGGAGCTACTAGAGCCATCCGGGAGCCTAGAGTTGTTGTGCAGACTACCAGTGAAGTAGATATCCTCGATGATGGTTACCGGTGGCGGAAATATGGACAAAAAGTTGTCAAAGGAAATCCCAATCCAAGGTGGTCATTCTCCTCTTGTTCTGATCTGTGCATGCGCAACAGAAGTTATACAAACAATGCATCATTTCATTTATGGTACAAATCTGAATGTGTCTGTTTTGCTGCAGGAGTTACTACAAGTGTACGAATGCAGGGTGCACAGTAAGGAAACACGTGGAGAGAGCATCACACGACCTTAAATCAGTAATCACTACGTACGAGGGAAAGCACAACCATGATGTGCCTGCTGCTCGTGCCAGCAGCCATGTCAATGCTAGCGCTTCCAACTCCGTCCAAGCTTCTGGTGTTCTTCCGACCCATGTTCATAGACCTGAACCATCTCAAGTACACAATGGCATTGGAAGGCTTGAGAGGCCATCCCTCGGCTCGTTCAACCTACCGGGAAGGCAGCAGCTAGGACCTTCCCACGGCTTCTCCTTCGGCATGAACCAACCGATGCTATCGAATATGGCGATGTCAGGGTTAGGCCATGTGCAAGCAAAGCTTCCTGTCATGCCTGTTCATCCATTCTTGGCACAACAACAACAGCAACGCCCTTCAAACGATTTTGGTTTCATGATGCCAAAGGGAGAGCCAAATGTGGAGGCTATTCCTGAACGCGGTGGTGCCCTTAACCTGCCAAATGGGTCATCAGTGTACCAAGAAATCATGAGTCGCATGCCTCTTGGACCTCATACGTAAAATTTTATTCCCTGATTCTTTCTTTGAAGAAAACACTGATGTTTACATCTTATAACATACATATATATAATATATATATATATATATATATATATATATATACATGTGTTATGCTCAGGCATACATAGGTGAACTTTTTCATTATTAAACTGTCATTGTAATGTTTGATATTCTTCCTCACATCATGTCAAAGGTATATGTAGTTTATTTTGCTGATTTATTGCATTCAACAAATCAGGTCAAGTTAAGAATCAGTGGCCACGAATCAGATTGTGTTTAATTGAGAATTATTCTTGATACAAACTTTATCAGATTCAACATTGACTAAACTTTATAGAATAATTTGATTATGTTTTGCAATATCTTTGACAAATTATCACAAGATTTGCTCGACTAAGATCACCTGATTTGTCCAAAGAGCGAGAAAAATGTCAGAATTTGACCCGAAAATGGAAAAAAAAAAAATGATTGAGATTCATAGTGTGGTTGAATGTTTTGATGTTAACTATCTGAATTTAATTAGTTTATATTATTTTTATTCAAAATTCAATTACAAAATAGCGAATGTTTCGGCTTTTCTTGGTTTGCCACCGACAACTTCCGAGGCAAGTTTTTTCAAACAAATTTATCTTTCACCCAACTAATGTCGACAAAGGTACCTTAGTTTTGCTACCTTCAAATTTTTTGGCTAAATTTTATTTTGATAATTCTGCCATCAATATAATCAATTTTGATAGCAATATTTTTTTTTTAACATTTTCCATTTATAGAGAATTGATTGGTGTTAGGTATAAATAAAAGTCAATATTAATTAATGTATACACTTCAAAAAGTCAATATTAATATATATTCGAAACCCACTTTTAAAATCCCATTTCCAAATACAAGTAAAATCTCCAAAATACACTTACGTTTTCTTATTTACTTTATTAATAGAACGAAAGTTAAAATTATATCAAATTCTATCATTCTTTAATCTCTATCCTAACACACATATAATAGTTGCAAGTATGTGTAATTTAGATACAAATTGAATAACTAAAAACTAGAAGGAACATGAAAAACATGAATGAGAATCCACTCGTCTAACCCAGGTGGAGTTGTGGTCCATCCAACCACTCCAAAAACAATGTTAGGATTTGAACCCCACTTACCCATATAATGTGTATCATCATTGATTCCTCTCCCTATTAAAACTTCCTACTCCGATACACCCTTTAACAAATCCTAACACCATCTCTGAATGCATCCACAATATTTGCAACAACATTCAATCAGTGCAAAAGCATCTTCCCAAAGTTCAGGTTGTAGATTGGTCAATTACTTGTGCCTTTCAAAAAGTCAGATCTCCAACAATCATACCTTGTTTTTACATTTTCAAATGAAATGCAAAATTTATCTAACACAACTGACATACTAAGCAAGGATCTAAAGACAATTTTAAAGGGAGCATACCTTAATTTTGCTGTCATGCACTTGTATCTTAACAACAGTTTCTCATAAAACAACTATTATGATATTAGAAATTCACATATGGCTAACAATTTCTTATCCAAAACATCAAACTTTTCTGTAGGACGTGGAAATAGTTAATCTAACATGGTGAATTGCACTTTCTGGTATAAGGAGACTAGGCTAATATAAGTAAATATCTATTATGACTAGATAACACACTAATGAATATCTGAATCATATCAAACTTGATATAGATGATCAGAAAGATAATAGAGAGCAATTCAACGTTATTAATAATTGGTCTAACATACCAAACCAACTTGAATCTAATCATAATCACAACTTAGATCCAATGACAGAAGTTAAATAATGAAATCATCAATCACAATATTGAGAATGGTGGGGAGCAATAGTGATTCAGGACCAGGATTGAACCAAGTTGGCAAGTGCTGTTGTGGAGGATCCAGATTCTCCAACAGCAGCCAAAGCCATGCGTTTGAGTTTCAGACTCGTCTCTCCGATCTCCTTCGACTCCATCACCTCTCTCACTCTCTTCTCCACCTCCTCCGCACTCACAAACCCATCTTCCTCCCTCTGATCCACCGCAACAGCCACCTTCATCTCCCCCACCATCACCTCCCTGTTCACGTGCTGCTCTGCATACAACGGCCATGCAATCATCGGCACCCCCGCCACCACCCCTTCCAACACCGAGTTCCACCCGCAGTGACTCACAAACACACCCACCGACTCACGACTCAGCACCTCCACTTGCGGGGCCCACGCCTTCACCACCATCCCTCGACCCGTGGTTCTCTCCATGAACCCTTTTGGCAACACCGACGCCAGGTCGAAGTCATCCCCTGGTTTTGCTGCCTCGTGAACCTGCTTCGTTCCCTCCTCTTCTACCGGCCTTTTCACGACCCACAAGAACCTGTGCCCACTCCTCTCTAACCCATTCGCTATCTCTCTCAACTGTGACACTGTGAACGATCCTCTGCTTCCGAAGCACAGGTACACCACGCTTCTGCTCGGTTGTTCATCCAGCCATCTCAGACATTCTTTGTTATCCGTTCCTGCATCTCATTTTGTACAAACCAAAACAATGCAAAGTGCGACTTACTTACTGTAGAAGAAGAAATTCAGACCAATTTCACTTTATAAACAAGAGTTGAAATGTGTTTTTTCAGTCTTTTTTCTATCTTTTATTCAATTATGCGATGGTTTATTCTTTTGCACTAACTGAAGGTTTTAGCTGAACTGTGTCTCAGTTTTCAATAGCACGTCTCTTTGACAGATACTTACAAATTATATATTAATGAAAATTTTTACATGGTAAGATTCAAATTTATGTTCTTATAAAATATACTCCTTTTCAACTATATCAATCTCTGTAGACAGATAGTAAATACAATTAGTATGAAATGAGTCTGGTAAGTTTATAAATTGAATGGTATATAAAAAAACAATTACATGAAGGACTGAAATATATCAAGTATACTTAGTTTACAGATTTTATTTTCTTGACTTACTTAAGAGACCACGTTCATATATTTTTATCTTTTTCTATAGATAAGCTGCAATGATGCAGTTGAGAAAAAAAAAAACTATTGTGTCTCTGAGTTGCTAATCAGAGATTCAGGGTGATGTATGCGAGGGAAGTTTGACAGTTTTAAGTATTTTTCAAATTTGAAAGTGTGAAAAAAATAAGCATATCTAACAATTAATTTATTAATAACATGAAAAACATAATTAAAATCAAAAGTATTTAAAACTAAAATCCAGAATTGTTTATCAAATATAGATTGATTTGCTGCATTAGCTAGTTTTCACGATTAATTATAGGAATTAACTTTATTTTAGGAATTAGCTTAATTATAAAAATTGGACCGTTTTTTTTTTTAGAGATATATTCTCCTTGTTCCTGCTGTATATATATATTTTTTAAAATTTGTAGGGTTTTATGTTTATATTTCTGATATATCAAGTGAGTCTATTTCTATTCATTTAATTTATGTATATATAAAATAAAAATATTACAAAATATTAAATATCAATAATATTTCAATCATAATTATTTAAATCAAAATAATAACCTAATATCTTTTTCCTTTTTCTTAAAAGATAATAAAAGATAACGACCTAAATCAAAATAATAACTTAATATCTTTTTCCCTTCTTTCTTAAAAGATAATAAAATCTCTTAATACTTAATTTAAATAAAAGATAATAAAGTAATATTCTCATCGTTCCTTTTTACTTTAATATATATTTATTTGAATTTGATTTTTTTATTTTATTTTGTTTATAATTTTTTCTCTTTTTTTGTTTGTACTTCTTGTTATCTTCCTTTTAGTATGAGATCACATCTTCGTTCAACTTCATTTTCTTCATCAAAATATTTCTTCCTTTATCAACTTCATCTCCTTTGTTTCTTTCAAACTTCTTCATGGTAGTACCATTGACTCTTTGATGGACGTTGAAAACGGTTTCTTCATCTACATCTTTATTTTCCTCCTTAACATCAAGTTCCTTCAAGAAATCTTTTTATACTTTTTCTTTGACTTTTCTTTTATATCTTTGTTTGTAATTAACTCTTTTTTCATTAAATCTAAAGTGAAACTTTTTTCTTTCATGTGAACTTTGAATATTTACAAGTTATTTGTATCTTTAATCTGTGTTCAAAAGACACCTTATAACTTTTTTTCAATAATTGAGCAACACTTAACAAATTATGATTAATATCATGAAAATATAAAACATCAAAAATTGATTTGATACCCGAATGATTTTTAACTGCGATTGTTCTCGTACCTTTCACATCTATTTGTTCTCCATTATCGATTCTCACTTTAGAACTATGTGATTCGTTGAGCTCTTTAAAAAATTCTCGATCATGAGTCATGTGGTTTGTACCAGTGGCGGATCTTCATAGTAATTAAGGGGGTCCATGGCCCCCCCAAAGTTTTGTAACTTACTTGTATATTTATGATTTTGGCCCCCCAATATTAAATATATCATAAAGAAAAAAGCTGAAGGAATAAATTAAATAAGAAAGATTAAAAATAATTTTATTATCCGACCTTTCTATCTTCTCTCACTTTTTCATACTCTCTCATTAACGGTAATATTTTATTAGTATTTAATTGCTTCTCTAATTTCTAAAGAATATATTAAATAAAAAAGGTTAAAAATACTTTTTCATCTTCTCTCACCTTTTCATATTCACTCACAAACGGTAATATTAATTGATTAATATTAAGTTATTTACGTAGTTTGTATTTTCAAATTCATTGTTCGTCTCTCATCCTCCCTTCTCAGATTTCATACTTGAAATTATATTGATTGATAAATGTACTTTTTCTTCATCTTTTCACTGTTTATTCTATTATTGTTTGTTATTTTGATTTTTGTTGAAGAACATTTGTTATTTGAGAAAACTGTTTTTGTTTTTTATAAATTTTTATGACTCTACAATTAGAAAATTAATAATAGATTCATTTTTCACTAGATATGAAGCATAAAAGAATAGATTCATTTTTTAAAAGTGATAAAAGAGATACTTGTAGAGATGAAAACCAAACAAATTCAACATCTTCTCCTGTTTCAAAGCATGACATTGATGATCTAATTATTCAATTAGAAGAATCCCTTTCTAAGATTCATAGAATTAAAACTAATGAATTTAATATTAATTCTTTGGAGCGTGACCCAGGAAAACGTATTCAGATACATGAATATCCTTTGAATCAAAGAGATGAAATTAGAAGAGCTTATTTAAATTGTGATCCATATCAAATACAACTTAAAAACTATCCTTTTTCTAAAGAGAAACATCCTAGGAGATTTCAATATGGTTGGTTTAAAATGTTTCCTTCTTGGTTAGAGTATTCTCCAACTAGTGATGGAGCTTATTGTTTGCCATGTTATCTATTTAGTACACTGTCAAATGGTCGTCCTGGGGCAGATGTGTTTATTAGACAAGGATTTAGATCATGGAAAAAGGTTAATTCAGGAAAGAATTGTGCGTTTCTTAGTCATATTGGAGATAGTCCTTGTTCACCACATAACAATGCAATAAAAGCATGTACAGACTTATTGAATCAATCTAAGCGCATTGACAACATTATAAATGTGCAAAATTCAGAAGAAGTTTGCAAAAATCGTTTACGGCTTAAAACTTCTATTGATACAATTCGTTGGTTAGCATTTCAAGCTTGTGCATTTAGAGGCCATGATGAAACTCCGGATTCAAGTAATAGAGGTAACTTTCTTGAGATGATTAAACTTTTAGCATCATACAATGATAAAGTAGCACAAGTTGTGTTAGAAAATGCTCCTTATAATTCAAAATATACTTCTCATCATATTCAAAAGGAAATTTTGCAAATTTTTTCTAGAAAAGTAAGAAATTATATTCGTGAAGAAATTGGTGACTCAAATTTTTGTATAATTGTTGATGAAGCTCGTGATGAATCTAGAAGAGAACAAATGGCTATTATTTTGAGATTTGTAGATAAAATGGGTAATATTAAAGAACTCTTTTTTGATATTGTGCATGTTAAGGATACTACAGCTGCTACTCTTAAAAGAGAATTATGTGTTGTTCTCTCTAGACATAATCTTGATGTTTCCAATATTCGTGGGCAAGGATATGATGGTGCTAGTAATATGAGAGGAGAATGGAATGGATTACAAGCATTATTTCCTCATGATAATCCTTATGCTTATTATGTACATTGTTTTACTCATAGATTACAACTTGCTTTGGTTGCTGCTTCAAGAGAAGTTATTCCAGTTCATCAATTTTTTTCAAATTTGGCTTTTATTATAAATGTTGTTTGTTCATCTAGTAAACGTCATGATGAATTACAAAGTGCAGAATTAGATGAAATAGCAAAATTGTTAGAACTTGTTGAAACTGGTAAAGGAAAAAATCAAATTGGCACTTTAAAACGAGTTGGTGATACTCGTTGGAGTTCACATTTTCATTCCATTTGTAGTATGATGAAATTGTATAGTGCATCTTGTTTAGTTCTCCAAAAAATTATAATTGATGGTTCAACTTATTCTCAAAGGGGTGATGCTGATGCTGCTTATAATATTTTGTCTGAGTTTGAGTTTGTATTGATTTTACACATGATGAAAGAAATTATGGGAATTACTGATTGTCTTTGTCAAGCTTTACAGAAACAATCTCAGGATATACATAATGCTATGTAGTTAGTCTATTCGACTAAAATTTTGATTCAAAAATTAAGAGAAGAAGGTTGACAAGATTTGTTGAAAGATGTAATATTGTTTTGTGAACAACATGACATTGATATTACTAATTTTAATTCTACCTATGTAGCACGTCATGGTCGTTCTCGACATCAAAAAGATTGTATTACAATAGAACATCATTTTAGGGTGAACATATTTTTTATTACAGTGGATAAACAATTACAAGAATTAAATGATAGGTTTAGTGAGAAAACAATGAAACTTTTAACTTTAAGCAATGCTTTAATTCCAAATGATGTTTATAAAAATTTTAACATTGATCATATATGCACACTTGTGAACAAATTTTATCCTTTGGATTTTAGTGAACAAGAGAAGATTAATTTAAAATTTCAACTTCATCATTTTATACTTGATGCTCCTAACCATCCAGATTTGAAGAATTTGTCCACCATGCTTGAATTATGTCAATCTTTGACAAAAACAGGTAAGTCGGTACATTTTACTTAATAGATCGTTTAATTCGTCTTATTTTAACTCTTCTTGTTTCTACAGACTATAAGCTGAGAGATCATTTTCTCGCAATGAAGATTATCAAAACAAGGCTACGAAATAGATCTGGAAGATGAAATTCTTGCGAGATAATATGATCATTTATATTGAGAAAGAAATAGCTGAAAACTTTAGTTCTGATTCCATTATTGATGAGTTCAAACATTTAAAAGAACGAAGGGCACAATTTTAAATAAATATTTTATTTTTATTTATTATTATACATTTTTTTTTATAATTGGCCCCCCCAGACTTACTGGTCAAGATCCGCCACTGGTTTGTACAACCATTGTCTATAAGCCAACATGTGGATTTATTGTTTGTAGAGCATGTTGATGCAAGGGGAATCTCTCCTTCTACTCCATCCTCTATAACTTGAAGAAATTCCCCTTCTACTCCATCCTCTATAATCTTGATGACTTTTTCTGGTTGTGATTTGTATATCTTTTCTATATATCCCGATTGACCACATTTTCGATATTTCACATCAGGCCTCCACCAACATTTGTTGGGTGTGTATTATTTTTCTTGCAATAAGAATAAACAGAAAAGACTCGTGATTTTGTATCTTTGTTGTTCTTGGCTTGGAGAGAACCTCCATCATGATATAATAAAGAACCTTCAACACCATGATTTCCTCTCATCAATCTTCGTTGCTCTTGCGCTTGTAAAGCATGTAGAACTTCTGCCAAAGTAATATTAAACAAATCCTTTGTATTTTCCAATGAAGCAATAGATGTTTCATATCTCTCTGGCACAGTTACCAAAATTTTCTCAAATATTCTGGAATCAGAAAATTCTACTTAGTTTCTGTTTTTCAAAGATTGCTGTTTCTGTTTTTCGTTGTGATATATGTGAACAAGCAAAAAATCATTGTGTTCCTTTTCCACTTAGTTTGAATAAAAGTCTTGTTCCTTTCATGCTTATACACGATGTTTGGGGACCTTCTAAGATTTCTACTTTAAAAGGGTCACATTGGTGTTGCCGAACGAAAAAATCGACACTTATTGGATGCAATAAGTTCTTTATTATTAGAAGTTCATATGCCTTTGTCTTATTGGGAGAGGCTCTGACCGTGGCAACATATGCCATAAATTCGATCCTTTCTAGCTCTAATGATTTTCAAACGCCATTGCAGACTCTCATTAACAAAGTGGTTACTCTTGGTAGTGCAGATTTGCCTCCTCGTGTTTTTGGTTGTGTTGTATTCATTCATATTTAAAAGAACCCAAACAAATTGGCACCTCAAGCTTTACGTTGTGTATATGCTATGCACCAAAAAGGTATCAGTGTTATCATCCTCCAACTAAATGGATGTTGTTTTTCATAAGCAAATAATTTATTTGTCTGCACTTCAGGAAGAGAACCATAAAAAACGATAGACTTTTGACTATGATTGTCAAGAATATGTATATCTTGAGAAAGGTGAGTCCATTAAAGATATTGACCGCTTTGAAACAAATACTACATTTGATTACAGCAACAATGTTTCTTCATAGTTAGTCATCATTTAGAAGCAAATTACAGTAACTCCCAGAATGTCACACTAGAGGTATTCCTAAATCCACTTACGAACTTATTTTTTTTAGTAAGGTTAAATATCCCATGAATAATTTTGTTTCCTACCACCGTTTGTCAGAATCAAATAAGTCATTTGTAAATCAATTATCTACTGTAGCTATTCCTAACAATGTACATGAAGCCTTGACTGATCCAAGATGGAAAAATGCGATGAATGAGGAAATGAAAGCCTTGCAACAAAATAAGACATGGGAACTTGTTGACTACCCATTGGAAAAAAAACCAATTGGATGGTGATGGATTTACACTGCAAAGTACAAAGTAGACGACACAATTGAAAGGTTTAAAGAAAAACTAGTAGCAAAGGGCTATATTCAGACTTATGGGGTAGACTATACAGAGACATTTGCTTTTGTGCTAAACTTAACATTGTTCGAGTGTTATTATCTCTTGCGGTAAACTTAGATTGACCATTACAACAATTTGATGTAAATAACGCTTTTCAAGATAGAGAATTATTTGAAGAAGTTTATATGTTATATGGATCTTCCACTAGGATGTATGGTTCCAAAGAAGCATAGTAAAAAAGAAATCGTTATATGGGTTGAAACAATCCCTAAGACATTGTTTGGAAGATTTTCAGAGGCAATGATTGCTTTTGGCTATAATCAGTGCAATTCAAATCACACTTTATTTCTAAGAAAACAACACGGTAAGATCACTGCTGCTCTTGTCATATATGTAGATAATATAATGGTTACTAGAAATGATCCAGAGGAAAGGAAATCTCTACAAAGCTACTTATATGGACAATTTGAAATGAAAGATTTTAGTCCATTAAAATATTTTCTTGGCATAGAAATTTTCAGATAAAAAAAAGACTATTTCTCTCCCAAAGAAAATATATTCTAGATCTTTTACAAGAAACAGGTAAAGAAGGATGTCATCCAGCTACTACTCTTATTGAATAAGGATTAAAATTGTGTCTTAAGCCAAATTAGGTACCGATTGACAAAGGGAGATATCATAGGCTTATAAGAAGATTAATGTACTTGACTCATACCAGACCAGATCTCACTTATACATTAAGTGTTATACATTAAGTATTGTGAGTCAGTACATGCATAACCCAAGGGAAAAACATATGAATGTTGTCATGCACATCTTAAGATATTTGAAATCTGCACCTGGGAGGGGTATTCTATTCACTAAACACACTGATTATCAAGACATAAAAGTATATACAGATGCATATTGGGCTAGATCCATAGATGACAGAAGGTCTATCTCAAGTTATTTCATATTTGTAGGTGAAAATCTTGTTACTTGGAGGAGTAAAAAACAAAATGTAATTGTTTGCTCAAGTGCAGAAACCGAATTTAGAGGCATGACACTTGGTCTATGTGAAGCATTATGATTGAATCTACTTGTTGGATTTTCATGAAAAAAAAGGTTAGATAAGAAGATTTTAGAGTTGCCTAAGATTAGAATAGATGATCAGTTGCCTGATATCCTCACTAAAGCAGTCTTAAAATAAGTGTTCTCGAAACTTTTAAACAAATTGAGTTTGACTTACATTTATAAATCAACATGAGGAGTGTTGGAGTAGTGTTGAGGTTTCTCATTGGTTCACTATATTGTAAATTACCAAATATAGATTGAATTGCTACATTAGCTAATTTTCAAGGTTAATTATAGGAATTAGTTTTATTATAGGGATTGGATCATTTTTTTATGAGATATATTCTACTGCAGTATATATACCTATTCTTTGCAATTATATATATATATAAGAATAACTAAATATTATAAAGAAGAAGTCAAATTGAAAAAATAAAAGAAGAGTCAACAATGGCATTCCCATTGGAAGAGCAAGACGACAAAAATTTCAAGCCTCGGGTGTATTTTAAACCATAAATATTCAATTCGTGGAAAGGGAAAATAAGGAAAAACTATTTTTTATTTAATTTTAAGAAAGAAGACAGAATCTCATGGCGTCTGGGAAATTTTTTTTTTTTTTTACGAGAAGTAGAATTAAAAAAAAAAAAAAAAACACGAGTTAACGGAAAAACACGAGACCAAACCTGATTGCTGAGGTTCCGCGATGAGTGGTCCGATATAGTAAACGTGAGGTCTAAGTTCGGCGTTTGGAAAGCACGAGCCCTCCGTGACGGCAGTAACCGCCAGAGGCTCGAGCTCTGGGAAGGAGTTGACTATAATCCCACGCGCTTTGGCAAGACGCGTGCAGAAGAAGAGCATGTCCCAGTACGCAGGGTCGTCCCTCTCCAACACGGGTTCCGGCATGTTCACCGCCTTCAAGGGCGCGTTACCCGGCACGTGCAGTTCCGCGCCGATCATATCCTTAAACGACACGCTCGTCTCTTCGTGAATTTTGGGAAAGTACGAGAAGAGCGCGAGGACGGCGGCGCCGGAAGTGAAGAAGTAGTAGACTGGGATTCCCATGGAAGAAGCTGATTCCATGGCGGAAGTGCAGAAGAGGTCGATAACGAATGCTTTGACGGTGGTGGTTTGGGAGATTTGGGAAAGAGTGGTGGCTATGTGGGAAACATTTGCTTTGATGAAGGCGAAGGCCCTGGTGGCGAGGCTGACGGTGGTTGGGGGGGCGACGAATGGGGTGTGGGGGAGGCGGAGGAAGGAGATGGAGGGGTGATCGGCGGAGATGCGGCGGATGTAGGTGTGGACGGAGGGGTGGTCGAGGAAACCGGTGGTGAGGAGGATGGTGAGGTTGAAACGGTGCGTTTGGAGGAGTTTGGCAAGTTCAACCATGGCTACAATGTGGCTTATTCCTGGTGCTGGATACATCACTATTCTTTCTTCTTCCATTTTTTATTATTGGGTTTGTGAAAGCTTTGATAGCATGTGAGATTGTTTTGCAGGGTAATGTGTTGGAGATGGTACTTTTCAGGAGGGGGGAGAACATGTTCTATTTAAGAAATAAGAAATATCATCAACTATGTATTTTATATTAGTTTTATCATAAATTATTACTAGACAACTTCTATACCTAATATATTTTATATTTATAATTTTTATTATAAAGATTATAAATATAATTATTATGTATTAAATCGTAATTTATTAATGAAAATTCCTTTATAACTTGAGTAGTTGTTGCTTCTTATAAACAAAATAGTAGTAAAAAAAAAACTCATTTTAAAAGCATAGTTAAAAATTATAATTATTCAAATAATATATATATATATATATATATATATATATATATATATGAAAATTTTATCATTTACGTGGTAAACAATAAAAGTATATAAAAATATCATATTATTATAGAATTTGTACTATTACACACTATTAAGACAAAAAAAAGTTTAAGATGTAACAAAAACTACTAATTAATATATCTACATTGTCATGAGAGAAATAATTGTAAAAACAAAATAAAGATTGAGGTTTTTAGACACAAGAGATAGTTTAGTGAGTAGTTGATTATGTTATATAAATAAAGATTGCGGTTTTTTTTTTTTTTATAAACTTAGTCTATATATGCTAAGTTCATATTCATTGTAAAGTGAGTTGATCAATAAATAAAAAAATTAATTTTGTTTTTAAAAACTCTAATATGGTATTAGTTTGCTAAAATTCACTTCTCTTCCACACATCTCTTTTTATTCCTTTTTCATTGATCAACTATGGCTAAATCCAGCCAAAACAATCCATGATAGTTGTCCTAGAAACCAAAAACAAAGAGCAGTTCGTTACCAGCAGTCTTCTATGGACACCAATCACAGACCCCCTTTCACGACACCTAGCGCAGATGCAATCGCATGGTGAAGGCTTGGTTGACATGTTCCATGAGCACCTCCATCAAGCAATCCATGATATAGATGGACAACTTTTCAGACATATGGAAAGATTTGAAAAAAAGATTCTTACATTCCGACAAATTTCACATTGCTGATCTTTAAGATCAAATCCAGAATTGCAAACAAGGTGATTCATCCATTTTCGATTATTACACAAGATTAAAAATTTTGTGGAAAGAAATTGAACTTTATCGGTGTATTCTTCTTTGTAAATGCCCTGTATCTTGTTTTTATGGTCTTCTTGGCCCACCAAGACCACCAATCCAGGAAAATCTACTAATCGAAATACAAAATTTTATGAAAATTGTAAGAAAATAAACCACACAATTGAAACCTGTTACTGGAAAATTGGTTTCCTTGTTGGGTATAGAAAATTTGTATGTGCCTCTTTCTCTGGTCCCAAATCCTCTGCAAGTTTGGCTGAAGTTTGGGTATAGAAAATCATTGGTTGACGATTCTCTATGTGACCAATTCAGCTTCTCAAAAGAACAATATTAACCAAATTTAGCTCTTCTTCAGCAATGTAAGCTTGGGGCATCTTTTGTTAACCACACTAATAATTCCTCTGTTAATACTGTAGGTGATATTTCTTCCTTTTCCTCCTGGATTCTAGATAGTGGTGTAACGTATCACATCTGTCCATCACAATCTTGTTTTTCTTTCTTGTTTAGATAAAACTTCCTAATAATACCACTGTGATTGCAAATTTTTTTGGCAATATTACCCTTGGAAAATTAACTCTTGTTGATGCCTTATATGTACTAGATTTTGTTACTAACCTTATATCCATTCCCAAATTAGTTTCTATAATTGATTACATGGTTATCTTTTATGCTGAAACCTGTTTCATTATGCAAAAATCAATACATCAGATGATTGGTACAACTAAGAAATTGAATGACCTCTTTTTTCTTCAAGATTCCAGTGACTCAAATTCATGTGGATCACACTTTCTCAATGCCACTGACACATAACATTTTGTCACAGACAACATGTCTCTGTTATGACACATTAGATTAGAACATACTTCAAATAAAGTGTTGCAATTTTTAGCTTCTAAATACATTGACATTGTCGTTGATTGTTTAACACCTTGTAATATATGTCATTTTGCAAAGCAGAAACTGTTGAACATTCAAGGACTTGATGTTGCACTTGGTGGACATGAAGATTGTTGATTTTGATGATGATTCAAGAACTCAAAGACTTAGAGTGTTGAAAACTTGTTTTGTATTGTAATAACTCTGTTTCAATTAGATTGAGTCTGTAATATTGGTGTTTAAGATAGCTGGTACATAGTCTGCACCTTAGAAGCTTCAAAAAGCTCAAATTTATCATCCAGGCTCGGCTTTAATCGATTAAATAGGGAAATAATCAATTAAAACAGTGAGAAAAACCATTTTTTGTATCTGCTCACTGGTTTAATCGATTAAAACTCCTGTTAATCGATTAACAGGCGGTTTAATCAATTAAAACCCCTTTTAATCGATTAAAACAGTGAGTTTCAGGGTTCTGTTGATTTTGACTCTGTAATAATCGATTAACTCTTGATTTAATCGATTATTTCAGTCAGATTTCGAATTTTAACTTCAAATTAACCCTATTTTCGAAAACATTTTTCCCAAGAACCCTAATTCCGAAATTCCCAATTCCCAAACCCTAATTTCTCTACTTAAGCTTCTCTATGACACTAAGAAAAGGAGAACAACCTTTTTCATACAAAAGTTAAGTGTTGTAGTGTCAGAGAACTGTTTGTTGCAAGAAAAATGGGCTTTTGGAACCTGATGTGGGCTAGAAGCGATAAGAATCACTAAGTGGAGTTCTTAGTGGATTGTGTGTTGTGCCGTCTCTAGGGAAAACTGTTCATCATCTCTTGTGGATTTCAAGAGAGGTGTTTTCTTATCTTTATCTTTTCAATTGTAATTTGCTTGTAACAACTTGATTATAGTGACAGCATTAATCCTCTGTTTGAGTGATTAGCAACTGGACGTAGGGTCTTTTGATCCGAACCAGTATAAATTTCCTGTGTAAGATTCTCTTCTCTTCTCTATTTACATTTACACAGTTTTTAATCGGTAAAATTTGGAGAAAATTTTGAAAACCTAATTTTTGTTAAGAAACCAATTCACCCCCCTCTTGGTTTTTGTCCGACCACGCGAACATTCCGCTGCGCGATTCTAACAGAAACGTTTGCCATTTTCTACCAGTAATAATAGAAACACTATATTCTTTGATCTTATTCATGTAGATATTTGAGGTCCTATTGCCTCTTCCTTAATTAATAATTCCAAGTATTTTCTAACTGTGGTAGATGATTCCTCTCTATTCACTTGAGTTCATCTTTTAAAAACTAAATCTGATGTTAAAACTATTCTTCCTTCTTTCATTCAGCTTATTGAAAATCAATTTGATTTAAAACTTAAAAGGCTTCGGTCAGACAATGAAAAAGAATTTCTTTTACATGGTTTTTTCTCAACTAAAGGCATTTTACATGAAACATCTTATGTTGAGACTCCTTAACAAAATAACATAGTTGAGAGAAAGCATCAACATTTATTAAATGTGAGTCGAGTCTTACTCTTTCAAGCTAATCTACCAATTTGTTTTTGGTCTTTTGTTGTGAAACAGGCCACACACATCATAAACAGGTTACCCATACATCTTTTAAAGCTCAAATCCCCTTATGAACTTGTGCATGGTCATGTTCGAGATTTAACAAACATTAAAGTTTTTGGTTGTCTTGCCTTTGCTTCTACTTTTACTACTGGAAGAACAAAATTTGATAAACGTGCCTCCAAAACCATTTTTCTTAGTTTCAAACCTGGCACAAAAAGTTATATTTTGTATGACATTATCAACAAGTCCTTTTTTATATAACACAATGTCATTTTCTATGAATATCATTTTTCATATAAAGAACATTCACCCATCACTCCCTCCTGACAGCACCTGTATCAGTTTTTTTGATGACCTCATATCATTACATCATTCCACAATGCATTCTTCTTATGATAATAACATGCATAATCATGATACATCTTGACCTAACATTGACTCTCTTCCCCCTTGAATCCCCACATATCACTAAATCTGTCCCAAAAGTTTCAACATGAATAAAGAGGTCACCTTCATATTTGGCTAAATACCATTGTGCTACTATTTTTATCCCCTACATGCTTATCTTTCATATGCTAATTGTTCTCCTTCTCACACTATTTTTTGTTTGTCTCTCTCTGGTACTATTGATCCTACCACCTTCAAGGAGACAACCCAATTAGATTGTTGGCGGAAAGCTATGATGACTGAACTTCAAGTTCTAAAGAGAAATAACACATGGTCATTGGTTAATCATCCTCCAGACAAGAAAGTTGTCGGTTGTAAATGAGTTTACCGAACCAAATTTAAAGCGGATGGTTCCATTGAACGATACAAGGCCAGATTGGTTGCTAAGGGCTTCACATAAATAGAGGGGGTAGATTTATTTGGAACATTTTCTCCCGTAGTTAAGATTACTACTGTTCGGTTTCTACTTTCCTTTGTTGTTTCCTCTGGCTGGTTTCTTCATCAACTACATGTCGACAATGCTTTCTTACATGATGATCTTGTTGAAGAAATCTACATGAAACCCCCACAAGGACTATTTCTTGCTTCTCCTAAACTTGTGTGCAAACTCTACAAATCTCTATATGGGTTAAAATAAGCAAGTAGGCAATGGAATGTCAAGCTCACATCTGCTCTACATAACTTTGGTTTTGTTCAGAGTACAACAAATTACTCTTTATTTGTCAAGCACACAACTAGTTCTTTCACAACTCTCCTAGTCTATGGTGATGACATAGTTATTACTGGGAATCATCTTGATATGATCACTGATATAAAAACAGATCTTCACAAAAAATTCCATATCAAGGATCTTGGTGATTTGAAGTATTTTTTGGGCTTTGATCCAAACCTGACTTAATCCTTAATCAACGTAAATATTGTCTGGATATTCTTTCAGAATTTGGACTTACTGGGTGCAAGTCACTGAATTCTCCAACCACCCCTTCAGTTAAGCTCGTTGATAACGAGGGTGAACTCATCCTTGATCCAATCAATTTTAGAAGACTCATTAGCAAGCTGTTGTACTTGACACACACCCGTCCAGACATCAGCTTTGCTGTCCAATAAATGAGTCAGTTTATGACTCAACCCATAACCCTTCACTTGCAGGCAGTTTTTCGAATCCTTACAAACATCTCCTGGACAAGGCCTTTTCTATCCTGTTCAGAACCCACACAAATTACAAGCATACTCTGATTTTGATTGGGCTACATGTCACACCACTTGAAGATCCATAACTGGTTATTGCATCTTTTATGACAATTCTCTCATTTCTTGGAAGTAAAAAAAAATAGAACACCATGTCCCGCAGTTCAACAGAACAGAATATCGGACATTAGTCACTGTGGCTTGTGAATTACAATGGCTGAAGTATGTTGTTGATGATCTTCGGCTCACTATTCCTCTCCCTGTCTACACCTTTTGTGATAATCAATCTGTCATTCAACTTGCAAAAAATCCTTCCTTTCATGAAAGAACAAAACATATAGAAGTGAATTGTCATTTCATACTTAGCAAATTTCTCAATGGATCTCATATTCCCTCTCAACACCAACTTGCCCATATATTCACCAAAGCTTTTTTTTTTCCTTCTTTCCTTTACAAACTTAGCCTATCACTACTACAAATAAAGCCTTCAACGTCGGTTCTGGAAGGCTTTCAACGTTGGTTCTAATAAACCGACGTTGAAAGTTACGGACTTTTAATGTCGGTTTATTAGAACCGACGTTGAAAGTATAATTTTTTAAATTAATAATTTTTATTTATTTACAACCCCTTTACCCCCTTTATTTATTTAGAAGTCTCCCCTCTCTTTATATTATATTTTTATTAGGTCCTCCATCTCTTTATATTATATTTTTTAGAAGTTTATTAATTTTTTAAGAGAATTGTCATTGGCAGGATTCGAACCCAAGTACTTTAGAGTTGGAGGTCGATACTCCAACCACTAAACTACTTGGAATTTTTTGATAATAACTTACAAATAAATTATATTTATATACAAATAAATATATATCAGTGTAAATATATAAATATATAAATACAAATATATTTATATATTTTGATATATTTATATAGTTATATATTTATATGTTGAATGTGAGGATACACTCGAAAGTGAAAGTGTGTGTCGAGTAGGTTTTCAAAATTTGATGCTAAATTTGTGAGCATGTATCTTTATATGAGTTTGTAATTTAATGACATAATATAATCTTTATAATTTTATTTATATAATAATATAAAATAAATTTGGGAAACGCGTTATTCGCTCTCAAGCGAAAAATACCAATTTTCGCTCAAGCGAGACTTGAGTGAGTGAATTTCAGTGAGCTTTAAGATATTTTCACTCAAGCGAGAGTCAATCACACTTTCACCCTCGGTCAAAAAATACCAATATAATTTATTTGTAAGTTATTATCAAAAAATTGTAGTAGTTTAGTGGTTGAGATATTAACTTACAACCCTAAAATACTCGGTTCAAATGCTGTCAGTGACAATTTATTAACTTAAGTGAATTTTTGGTTGAAAAAAAAATAAAAATACTTTCCAGAAAATATATACAAATAAATATATATTTACATGGATATATATTTATTTGTATATAAATATAATTTATTTGTAAGTTATTATCAGGAAATTATAATAGTTTAGTGGTTAGAGATTAGTTTCCAATTCTAAAGTCCCGAGTTCGAATCCTGACAGTGACAATTTTTGGGTGAAAAAAATAAAAAAAACATATGGGAACCGACGTAAAAAGTACTTTCTACGTCGGTTGACTAAGAACCGACGTAGAATGTGTTTAATATTCAACTTTCAACGTCGGTTCATCCTGAACCGACGTGGAAAGTACTTTCTACGTCATCTCCGCTATAACCGACGTTAAATGACGACGTAGAAAGTATATATATATGCTAAGTTCCTATCTATTTATTGTAAAGTGAATTGATCAATAAATAAAAAGATACATTTTGTTGTCAAAAACTCTAATATTGGGTGATTATTATTTTTTAGTGTTTTAAATAGATTTTTTTTTCAATGATTAATATTACGTAATTAAAAGTTAAATTTTATTAGATATTCATGTAAAACTACTATATTATTAGCAATGTTTTTTTTTTCATGATTTAAAATTAATTTTTATTAAAGTTAAATAGTTACAAATTTTTTAAAAAAAGGATAGAATTAATATAAATCAGTTTGTAATTTTGATTTTAAGTTTTAAACCAAATACTTCAGACATCAAAATTACTTCAACTGAGATGAAAACAGGAATTTATTGAATTATTTATTAATCATTTTTAGTTCAATTATCCACAATTTTTTTATTAAATTTTGAAATTTTATATTCATGATTGGGGAAAAAAATGTATCATACACCTAATGGTTATATGGTCTTGTTACAAAATATAAATTAATAACTTTTAAAATTGAAAATTAAACAAAGTTACATATAATTTATATAACTAAAGAATCAAAGTTGCGGAAAAAAGATCAGAAACCAAAATTATAAATAATTAAAATTTAAGAAACTAAAACACTGAAAAATACTAAAAATTAAAATTGTATATTTTATAAAATACAGGAACAAAATTAAAATTAACCAAAGAAGAAAAAAAAGATTTCACTATGCTTCTCGCGTAATTAAGACAAAAATAGTATTAATATTGAAAGTGTCTAAGATTTAGGGTTGAATTAATGCATATAAAAAGCTACTTGAAATAATTTAATTAATAATTTATATACAAATTCTTATATAAGTCAGTTTCCTCTTAATTTCTTTATATTTTTCTCTGTTTTGAAAGTTGATATATACACCATTATTTATTAAATTCTAGTCAATATAAGTGATATATGTTTTTATTTTAATTTAATTTAAAAGTATTTAGGATTAAAGAGTTGTAATATAACCACGTAAATTACACCTAAATACATATAAAAGAAAGTTAGAATGAGATATATAGTTGAGACTTATAATAATTAACTTGTTGAATAATATATTTACTGCATAATGAGTGAATAATAATGTTTAAATTTTTTTAATTATTCACTATTAAATCGGATGTATGTTTTTTTAGGACGAATCAAAATGATCCCTAAAAAAATCATATTGTTTCAAAATTATTAAACTCTTAATTTCATTATCAAAATATCATGTTCGAGTTTCTCTAAGTTGTCTTCTCATGTGTTTATTTTCTTTCTTATGTTATTTAATACTCTTTCATACATTATTTTTCTTAAGTTTATAATTTGGTCTTTTTTAAATCTACTTACAAACATGCTTTATATTAACAAATTTATGAAAATATGACACTACTTTAACTAACTAATGGACTAATATTTCAATGGATTTTTATCTAAAATAAAGTAAAGTATTAATATTTATATTTACTTACATCGATATTTCAATTAAGACTTTGTTGGTTTACAAGAAAAAATAATGTAGTATAAAAAATATAACTACAGATGAATAAACGAAAACTAATAATTTTTCTTCTTCATAAATAAGAAAAGTAGAAAAAAAATTATCACTTTCTACTAAATATATTTATTTTTTCCTTATATATATAAATGAAAAAATTTAAAATAATAACAAATAAATATATATTATTAAAACATTTTGAGATATATTATTTTAAATAATTATATAGATAATTTTATAATTGAAAAAATATTAAATTTTAATTTAATTATTTATTAATTTTTAAAATAATTTGTTTTCTTTTTATATCACTTTTTTTTAACAAAAAAAATATTTTTTATATTATTTTTTTTCTTTTTTCACATTTTCTTCTCTTGTTATTCATGAAAATCTAAATATATAAAATTTTATTTATGAATATTTTTTTTAAAGACTAATAGGCTTCCTAAAAAAATAAGATATATTAAAAGAAATTTTTTAATAAGAATTGTTTAAAATTAATAAATAAATATTTTATTAAAAATATTTTTTATTTTAAATATATATTTTAATTTTAAGTTATTTATATATAATATTTATAATAAAATATTTATTTTTATTGTTAAGTAATTTTTTTTTTTAAAGTTATATGAAAAAAAAATCCTTTCATTTTCGAAGTAGAACTGTGGGTTTTATTCATAATTAGTTAGATATTTTTTTATCAAAAGTATTTTTGAAGAGAGAAGATTGAATTAATTAGGAAAACCAATTATTCAACTCACCTTGTTCAATAATAAAAAACACAAGAAAGTTTATCATATGTACCTGATTCTTGAGGTTCCGCAATGAGTGGACCGATACAATAAACACTAGGTGCAAGTTTCACGTTCGGAAAGCACGCGCCGTGTGCGACGGCCTGAACCGCCGCCGGCTCAAGCTCTGAAAACGAGTTCACCAGTATCCCACGCGCCTTCGCAAGGCGCGTACAGAAGTCGAGCACGTCCCAGTACGCAGGGTCGTCTCTCTCCAACATGGGTTCCGGCAACTTCACCGCCTTCAAGGACGCGTTTCCCGGCACGCTTAGCTCCACCCCGACCATATCCTTAAACGACACGCTCCTCTCTTGGTGGAGTTTCGGAAAGTACGAGAAGAGCGCGAGAACCGCGGCGCCGGAAGTGAAGAAGTAGTAGACTGGGATTCCCATTGAAGAAGCTGGTTCCATTGCGGAAGAGCAAAAGAAGTCGATTATAAGGGCTTTTACGGTGGTGGCTTTGGATATTTGGGAGAGGGTGGTGGCTACATTGTGGGTGTTGCTTTTCATGAAGTTGGTGACTTTGGCGGTGAAGCTGACGGTGGTGGCGAAGGTGGGAAGTGGGGTGTGGGGGAGGCGGAGGAAGGAGATGGAAGGATGAGAGGAGGAGATGCGGTGGATGTAAGCATTGATGGTGTGGTGGTCAAGGAAACCATTGGTGAGGAGGATGATGATGGAGTAATTGTGTGTACTTTGGAGAAGCATCATGGCAAGTTCAACCATGGAAACAATGTGGCCTCTTCCCAGTACTGGATACAACACTATTGTTTCTTGTTTCATTTTGGTTGTTTTGGTTTGGTTTGGTTTGGGTGTGTGAAAAACCTATTTTTTAGCTAGGGAATACTTTGTTTCGTTGAAGTGGTTTTATATAGATGATAGTTTGAAAGAATAGAGAGAGAATGAGATTATTTTTTATGGGGAAATATTAGTTAATATATGAGTGGCAAACATAAACATTTGTAGAAGATTGTTTGGAAAACGATGGTTCTAGGTCACATATTTTGAGGGATACGATATATGGTTAAACAAACGTAGTCGGAATTATCTATAATACCTTTCATTAAGAAAACACACTACCTGCCCCCACTGATACAAATTATAATAATACATGCAACAACGTTGAAAGAAATGCCAAAATGTTACTAAGAAAAATTCCGAAACGAAGTAGGAAAAGGCTTTGAAAAATGGGTGACATATATGTGTTCAATCATTCAAAAACAAAATATCTATTAAAAAACTTTATATATTAATATAATAATCATAATAAATAAAAAAATTATTAAAAGTTATTGTTATATTAGTAAATAAAGTTGTTTATAATAGTTATTCAGGTGGTCAAATAACTTTTTCCTTGAAAAATTCAACTTTTGTCAAAAGAATTTAAGAGATTTGTCCTCTATCATTTACGTAATAAATTGATTAATACACTTTAAAAAATTAAAAAAAGAGAGAGAAAGATTACAATATAATAAAATTGTCATCGATCAACAGTAATCTCAAACAGGCATATTAAGATCCAAGGTTATAAAAGTGAAAGATCAAATTTTTACACAAGACTGGATAGAAAGACTAAACAAGAAAATGTCGTTGTTATTATTCATCCAAATAACCAAGCCTGGTGAAGCAACAGATGAGTGTGATTGGCGTGTGAAATTTTAAAAGGTGATGATATTTGAGAACCCAATTTCACATTATTAATAATTTTAAAAGATCAATCACAATATTGAGAATGGTGGGGAGCAATAGTGATTCAGGACCAGGATTGAACCAAGTTGGCAAGTGCTGTTGTGGAGGATCCAGATTCTCCAACAGCAGCCAAAGCCATGCGTTTGAGTTTCAGACTCCTCTCTCCGATCTCCTTCGACTCCATCACCTCTCTCACTCTCTTCTCCACCTCCTCCGCACTCACAAACCCATCTTCCTCCCTCTGATCCACCGCAACAGCCACCTTCATCTCCCCCACCATCACCTCCCTGTTCACGTGCTGCTCTGCATACAACGGCCATGCAATCATCGGCACCCCCGCCACCACCCCTTCCAACACCGAGTTCCACCCGCAGTGACTCACAAACACACCCACCGACTCACGACTCAGCACCTCCACTTGCGGGGCCCACGCCTTCACCACCATCCCTCGACCCTTGGTTCTCTCCATGAACCCTTTTGGCAACACCGACGCCAGGTCGAAGTCATCCCCTGGTTTTGCTGCCTCGTGAACCTGCTTCGTTCCCTCCTCTTCTACCGGCCTTTTCACGACCCACAAGAACCTGTGCCCACTCCTCTCTAACCCATTCGCTATCTCTCTCAACTGTGACACTGTGAACGATCCTCTGCTTCCGAAGCACAGGTACACCACGCTTCTGCTCGGTTGTTCATCCAGCCATCTCAGACATTCTTTGTTATCCGTTCCTGCATCTCATTTTGTACAAACCAAAACAATGCAAAGTGCGACTTACTTACCGTAGAAGAAGAAATTCAGACCAATTTCACTTTATAAACAAGAGTTGAAATGTGTTTTTTCAGTCTTTTTTCTATCTTTATTCAATTATGCGATGGTTTATTCTTTTGCACTAACTGAAGGTTTTAGCTGAACTGTGTCTCAGTTTTCAATAGCACATGTCTCTTTAACAGATACTTGCAAAATGATACTTACTTATAAATTCAAATATTTACTAAAACTCACTCGAATTATAATTGATGAACAAGTCTTAAAGGATATTTATGAACTAGATCATCAATTCATATTTTGATCACTCAAAAGTATTTATCAATTCCTAAAAGAAACCTAAAAGAAAAGTTTTTAACTGTTATATGTTGCGATGTTGCATGCTGTCGAGAAAAACATGATTGTCGTTGTTCCGCGAGGAGTGGTCCGACACAGTAAACACGAGGTGCACATTTCGCGTTTCGAAAGCACCTGCCCTCGCCATGGCGTTAATCACCACCGCCTCCAGCTCTGCAAACGAGTTCACTATTATCCCACGCGCCTTCGAAAGGTACATGCAGTAGTCTAACGTGTCCCAGTACGCAAGATCTTCCCTGTCCAGCATGGGCTGCGGCATGTCCACCGCCTTCAGAGGCGCGTTTCCCGGCACGCGCATTTCCATCCCGACCATATCTTTGAACGACACGCTACTCTCTTAGTGGAGTTTCGGGAAGTACGAGAATAGCGCGAGAAGGGCGGCGCCGGAAGTGAAGAAGTAGTAGATTGGGATTCCCATTGAAGAGGCTGGTTCCTTTGCGGAAGTGCAGAAGAAGTCGATTACGAAGGCTTTTATGGTGGTGGTTTTGGAGATTTGGGTGAGGGCAGTGGCTACGTTATGGGTGTTGCTTTTCATGAACTTAATGATTTTGGCGGCGAAGCTGGCGGCGTCGGTGGGGGAGGCGGAGGAAAGAGATGGAAGGGTGAGAGGTGGAGATGCGGTGGGTGTGGAATGGTGGTGACGTTTTCTAAAGCGATAGTTATTGAAAATAAAGGTTAAGTGCAAATCTTTCTAAACTATTTTGAAGGGACAGAAGAATAATCAAATAAATGTAGTTGGAATTATTTATAATACCATTTACATCACCCTTTTTAATTTATTGAACTGGGTTATAAAATTTAACCTATTTCAAGTGATGGGTTTGTGGAGGTTGACTTGGCTCATGCTTTAAAAAAAAAAAAAAACTATAAATCATGATAATGTAAACTTGTTGCAATTAAAAATCGGAACTTAATAAATTATCCAAGTACAAATGTTTCTAGAAGTTATCTTTATGATTTAAGCATAAAATTGATTACATATAATGCATAAAACTTTATATCAAACAAAATATTTAAACAAACCACATTCTACAATATTAAAACAAGAATAACAATTAAAAAGTTAATCTAACTAAGTCAACCTTTAACCTGTTAGATTTTTAAATTATAAAAATTTAATTATTAAATTACACAAATTTGATTCATCAAATTACTTTATGAATTTAGTCTATTTTATCATCTTTTATTTTAAATATTTAAGCATAGGATTTGGATAAAAAAAATTCATCAATGGAAATTCAACTCCTGTTTTATAAATTGTAACACATTTCAATTAATAATAAAAATATTTAACAACACCGAAATTTAAAATATATTTAATTTTGTTTTTTAATAGTTGTTATAACTTTTTTGATATATCTTATGTTTTTACAAGCTATTTCATTATTACAAATATATTAATATTTTAATTGATTTAAAGATGTGTCATATTACAAATAAATGCTTTTTCAAATCTTTTATTTTCTAACCAATAAAAAAAAAAACCTCCTGCTAACAAAATTTGTTGAAGTAAGTTCGTGTTCTTATTTTGTCATTATCTTCAACCTTTTGAGATGGGCTGAATTCACACAGAGACAAAAGAGACAACATGGTCATATGTTATCATGATCTTCTTCCAATAACTTAGACAACTTTTTTTATCTCTTTTCTAAGATTTTGTGTAATTATTATTATTATTATTATTATTATTATTATTTTTCTTTAAAAAAAAATCTTCATATATTATTTGATTAAAATTTGGTATAATTATAAAATATTTTAATTTTCTAATCATTTAATTAAGAATACATATTTTATATTTTATAAATAAATTGTAAATACTTTATTTTATATAAAAGAATGAATATATTTTAATTTATATTTTTAAATTAATTTTAAATAATATTTTAGAGCTTAATTTTTTTTAAAGCTTCAAATAAAAAAATGGTTCTATTTATTATTTAAATTCAAAGAATTTTTAATATTTTTAAAAAAATATGTTACCATAATAGAAAAAAATATAAATTACACAATTGATAAAAGAGATCGTTACTTCTAATTATGACCTCAATTTATTTGGATATTTTAAAAAAATAATTTTTTATTTTATTTAAAAAGTATGATATTTCTAATTTCTATCGTGATATTTATGAATTTTACAAAAAGTTATAGAATCTTATTTTTATTAATTTTAAATACAAATCCTCAATATTTTATGATAATACATTATCTAAATTTCAAATTTTAGTGAATTTGATTGGGTTGTTACTTTTATTTACTATTGTATAAGATATATTTAATGAAATAGAAAAAATGAAATAAGTTTATAATTTAAATTTTTTTATAAAATAATAAAAATTTAATATAATGCTTAAATTCAGATTTTGCGTATTGATAATGGTAAGAAATATATAAATTTTGAAATACAACAATATTTAAAAGTTAATAAAATTATTAATCAAACTATTTATCCTAATACACCTAATAGGATTATCAAAGAAAAAATTGACATTTGTTAGAAGTTATTTCTGTTTTGGTAATTGAAGTATACATGCCATTATTTTATTAAAGAGAAACTCTTACTTCAACAATATATTAAATTTGAGTTTAAGAAACATTTTGAAACTTCACATTATTTGATTGTCACTCTAATTGTTCATAATTTACCCCCTGTATATTTAGATATATTGCATTTGTTCATCTTAATAAGCATCAATGCAAGTTAGTCCCATAGGGCATCCTATATGATTTTGTTGGATATATTATGCATAAAAAAGACTATAGGTATTATTTGTTGGCGTGAACTGTCTATTAGGAGAAATTAGGAATATTATAGATTGTGCTTTATTCTTTCTTTATGTGTAAACCATAATTTTAGCCTTAAATAACGTATAGTCTATAATAGACCCGTAATCATCTCCTTGTATTGTTATATATACATATGTTGTATGAAATAAAGAATATTATTCTATTTAACATGGTATCAAGAGCATAGATCATAGGATTTCAACCGCAATTTAAATTCTGAGGCACAAAAAGATGGTGGGACCAACAAAAATGGAAAATCCTACCGATGAAAAGGAAAACAACATTAACTCCATTAACATCAACTTCGATGATTTGACAACAAGAATGACACAAGTCTGGACCGAACATCAGACTCAGACCCACGCACCGATTGTTGACCCCCCTGCTGCATCGATTGGTATCAGATTGGATGGCACCAACTATGCCTTATGGTCCCAAGTTGTCGAGATGTATATATCAGACAAAGACAATTTGGGATATATCAACGGGGATATTCCGCAACCCCAATTGACAGACCCTACTTTCCAAAAATGGAGGACCGAAAAAGCCATTGTGAAAGGTTGACTAATCAATTCCATGGAACCAGCCCTAATAAGCAATTTCATTCGATTTCCTACTGCAAAAATGGTATAGGATTCTATTGCTACAACTTATTTTGATGGAATTGACACTTCTCAAGTATATAATCTAAAACAACAGGTGACACGTATGAGACAAGCTGGAAGGTCTATTGAAAAATATTACAATGACCTCCAAGGCTTATGAAGAGAAATTGATTTTCGTAGACCTAACCCGATGTAATGCGCTATTGATATAACAAAATATAATTCTATTCTCCAAAAGGATAGAGTCTATATTTTCCTTGACGGATTGGATGATCGGCTTGATAAAATTCGGAGCTATGTGATCCAATTACAACCATTCCCTACGGTAGAACATGCATATGCCCATGTCCGACGCGAAGACATTAGACAAGTTGTGATGATAACAGGAACATAAGCTATAATTGGTGCAGTGATGACTTCCAAGGGGGTCAAGATGGGAACACAACAATCCCCCTCACTCCAAATGTCCCCTGCTAAAAATAGTGGAAAGATGCACAAAAACATTAAGGCTAAGGAATCATCGAAAGGAGGAAGGTGTACACATTGTGGTAATATGAAACATACACATGAAACTTGCTTTTAAATTACATGGATATCTAGAATGGTGGAAGAAACTCAAGGCACGGAAGCAACGTGAAGCTGTTGCAAATGGGAATTTGGGACAAGTGGCTTTGATGAATGCAGAACCACAACTATCTTTCACTTCACATGTGGAGTCTTCAAATACCTTGAATACTTCCAATACGTAAGGTAATTATGATGATGTACTACTGAGCTCAAACCAGAGTGACCTTAGTGGCTGGATAATTGACTCTGGAGCAACTGACCACATGACATTTGATTCCATTGAATTTATCAAGGTCACTCAGCCACGATGAACTAATATTGCTAATGCTAATGGAGTAGCATATTCGGTTACAGGGGCTGGAAATGTTGTTTTGTCACCTTCTCTTTCTTTATCTAATACTCTACTAGTTCCATCTCTTTCAAATAAATTGATGCCGGTTGGTCAAACTACTGAGGAATTAAATTGTGTTACACTAATGTATCCTACTTTTTGTCTTCTTCAGAATATTCTCACTAAGGAGATCATTGGGCGTGGTACTAAGAGAGGGAGGTTGTACTACTTAAGATTTTAGCCTTGGACAAGCCTACCATATGCAACAAATGACTAATGTCAAGGAGAAGCAAATCTGGATGTGGCATCGTTGGTTGAGACATCCCTTATTTAGCTACATGAAACACCTTTTTCCAGAATTATTTTCAAATTTACATGATTCTAATTTTAAATGTGAAACCTGCATATTAGCCAAAAGTCATCGTGTATCTTATCTAGTTAGCTTGAATAAAAGAGAAATTCCATTTACCTTAATTCATTCGGATGTATGGGGACCTTCACCTATTACAACTTCTTTTGGTATTTGCTGGTTTGTGACTTTTGTAGATGACTGTACTCGAATGATTTAGCTGTATTTGTTGAAACATAAAGATGATCTATTTAAGGTTTTAAAATCTTTCCATAAAATGGTTCAGACTCAGTTTTCAACTAGAATTCAGGTTCTCCGTTCTGACAATGAGAGAGAATATATCAATAAGGAATTTCAATCTTACTTCAAAATTCATGGTCTTCTCCACGAAACCTCTTGTACTCAAACACCCCAACAAAATGGGGTTTCTGAACAAAAGAACAGGCATATCTTAGAAATAGCTTGTGCTCTCTTAATTGAAGCACATGTGCCTAAGAGGTACTAGGATGATATTGTTGTCATGTCAGTACATTTGTTGAACCGGATGCCCTCAAAAGTGTTGGATTTCAGAACTCCATTACAGGTCATTTCTACTCATGTTCCCTTTCCTACTATTTTGATGATTCTCCCTCGAGTCTTTGGATGTGTTGCATATGTTCACATTCAGAAAAACCAACGTACTAAGCTTGATCATGTGCCATTCGTTGTATATTTTTGGGTTATAGCACTCAAAAAAAGGGATACCACTACTATGACCCTGCCACCAAACACATTTATGTCACTATGGATGTTACATTCCTAGAATCTGAAACCTTTTTCCTACCATCAACATCAAATTCTTCTTTTCAAGGGGGGATGCAAGAAGAAAAGCAGAATTGGAAGAATTGGGAGAATTGGTCAAGCCTTGTGGATTGTCCAGTACAAGTTGATAATGAAGTGGAAAACTATGAGGACAACATGATACAAAATACTAATGAAAATGAGGTGATGACTAGTGAAGAGATCAAAATCAATGATGAACAAGGACAAGAAACTGATGCTGGACTGGGAGAAAGACATAGTAGTAGCAGAAATCAAGAAGCTACATCATCTGATTCTAAAAATGAACCCCCTCAATCTTCAGTACCAGAAGGCCTATCTCTTGAGAATATTCCTGAGGTAGTAAGCTCTCCTACCACTACATCTTCTCCTGTTGATGATTTGAATATTTATGCTGAATATAATTTACCTTTCAGACATAATCGTGGCAAGCCACCTAATAGATACTCCCCTGATTTTGAGAGGAAAGGATCAAGATACTCAATTTCTAATTATGTATCTACTCAAAGGAATACAAGAGACTTTAACACATCCAAAGTGGGGGTTCAAGCTATAAAAACAGAAATGGAATCACTGGAGAAGAACAAAACATGGACCATTGTCCCACTACTTAAAGGAAAGAAGAAGGTTGGGTGCAAATGGGTTTTCTATATTAAGCACAAGGCCGACGGATCAATTGAAAGGTACAAAGCAAGACTGATGACAAAGGGATATACACAAACATATGGAATAGATTATCAAGAGACTTTTTCACCTGTGACAAAACTTAATACTATTAGAGTTTTGTTGTCACTTGCTGCAAATTTAGATTGCCCACTACACCAATTTGACGTGAAGAATGCCTTTCTTCACGAAAATCTTGAAGAGGAGGTCTATATGGCATCCCACTAGGCTACAACACATCATCAGAAATTGAAGTTGTTTGTAAGTTATAACAGATATTATATGGGCTAAAACAATCACCACGTGTATGGTTTGGCTGGTTTAGCTTAGTTATGAGAAAATATGGGTTCCAACAAAGCAACTCAGATCACAATCTTTTCCTAAAACACCAATTAGGGAAGGTAACAACTTTAATAATTTATGTTGATGACATGATTATTACAAGGGATGATGTAAAGGAGATTTTAAAGCTCCAAGAGTATTTGGTTACAGAATTCGAGATGAAAAATCTGGGAGGACTCAAATATTTTTTGGGGATTGAAGTAACTCGATCAAAGAAATGTATATTCATTTCTCAAAGGAGATATGTGTTGGACTTGCTGTCAGAAGCAGGACTATTAGATTGCAAGCCAACTGATACTCCAATGGTTTAAAATCACAAACTTGGAGAGCATGCAGACCAGACTCCAACTAACAAAGAAAGATATCAAAGATTAGTTGGTAAACTCATTTACTTATCTCATACCCGCCTAGATATTTCCTATGTTGTTAGCATCGTAAGTCAATTTATGCATTGTCCTAGTGAAGATCATATGGGAGTAGTAACTCGTATTCTCAGCTATTTAAAGTCCTCTCCGGGAAAAAGACCTTTATTCTCCAAAAATAACCATATAAATATTGAAGGATATACCGATGCAGATTGGGCAGGCAGTGTCATTAATAGAAAGTCTACATCAGGATACCTCACCTTTGTAGGATCTCTAGTAAAGTTAAATATTATATGAGTAATTATTTATCTAATAATAAATAGTAAAAAATAAAAAAAATTATAAATTAATTATCTATTATAACTATTTCTAATCATGTCTAAGAAAAGTTAACTCACCAAAAATAAAGAAAGGTTTGAAATTATATATTAAATTAGATTAAATCTTAGTTGATAAATTAATGTATCAACTCATAGAAAATTTGATATACTTAGCACACATAAAATCAAATTTCATATTCGCATCAAGAATTGTTAGTAAAATATGAAAAATCATAACAAAACAATATATGAATTCAATTATACATATTTTAAGACATAAAATTAAATTTCACCTACATAATATTTTATACTTGAATTTATGTAAGTATAGGACTAAGATTTCTCTTTCAAGTCTTAACATATTTATCCACATCTATTAAATTATATTATAAATCTATCCACATTTGTTCATAGTCCAATTACACATAATGGAATAAAACATGTTAAAACTAATAAATTTTTCATAAAAAAATTATAAAATTATTTATAATTCCCTCAAAAGCTCAATTAGATAATATAAAATATTATAAAAATGTTTTATTAAATTGTACACTTATAATTTATATGAACAGTAAAGAGGGGATTGAGATTTTTTTAATATTATTATATTTGATTAAAATTTAATATAATTATAAAATATTTTAATTTTTTAATAATATAATTAGATACACATGTTGACTTTTTGACTAAAATAATAATATTATTATATATATATACACGTAAGAGAATTTGTGATAAAATTATTTACTTAACTGAATCTGTCATCAAATTATTTACTTAACTAAATCTCTTTTACTTGTTGTATTGAAATTTGGTTTCTCCTAAACCAAATTCCAACTTTAAACTTACAACTTTTTTTAAATAAAAAATTAAATAAAATATATAATTAAAAATAATATTAAAAATAAAATTTTAATTTTAAAACTTAAATAATATTTATATAAAAAATAATAAAAATAATATATTATTTAAATATATATTAAATTATTATTAAAAATATTAAATAATAATTTTTTATTATATTTTTTTATATATTTTTTTTAATTTTTGAATAAGAGATTTAAAATTTATATATTTTTTATTATATGAATTATTTAAGTTATAATTTTAGAAAAAATTTGATAAATTTAATATATAAAATATTAAAAGTAAAATTAAAAATAAGTTATTAATAACAAAATAAAAATTATAAAACATAATATTAAAGAAAAATAATAAAGGTAGAAAGATATTTATAGAGTGAAAATAATAGAGGTTTATGAAGAAGAAAACTCTCCACAAATTTCTCTTGAAATTCAAGAACCACCACTGACGAAATCCAAAACATAATAAACGTTATTCTCGTTGTAGAACTGAACACCACTTTTGAGATTAAAATTTTCTTAATATTATTGTCAATAATTTTATTTTTCAATTTTTATTATCAATAAGTATGTTATTTTTAATATTATACATTAAATTCTATCAATTTTTATTATTTTTTATTTTTAAATTTATTTTATATTAATAATAATAATTTTTAATTAATTAAATAATATTTTTACTTTATTATTTAAAAAAAATTAATTACGATAATTTTTAAGTTGAAATTCAATTAACGAGAAACTTAATCCAAGTAGAACAATAATAAAGATTCAGTTAAATAAATAATTTTACGAAAAATTTAATTAAATAAATAATTTCATCACTCTCGGTATATATATATATATATAATATAATAATATTATTTTAGTAAAAAAGTTTACACATATTTTATATCTCTTAATTTTATATCATATTTTATTTCGTATTATATTTTAATTCATATTTTTAAGTTATAATTGAATATTGACTAATCAGTAAGGAAGAATATTTTGTATGGCACTTGAAAAAGTCTGAGTAATTATTTCGATGGAAAATAATGGACCTGATAGTTGCGCTTCAGCGATGAGTGGTCCGATACAGTAAAGCGGAGGCGCAAGATGGGAGTGTGGAACGCACGCGCCGTCTAAGAAGGCCTTAACCGCCATAGCCTCAAGCTCTGGAAACGTGTTCACCAGAACCCCGCTCGCTTCAGAGAGGCGCGTGCTGATGTCCAACATCTCCCGGTATGCAGGGTCCTCCCTGTCCAACACGGGTTGAGGCATGTACACAGCCTTCTGGGGCGCGTTCCCCGGCACGCGCAGTTCCACCCCTACCAAATCCTTAAACGACGCGCTGGTCTCCTCGTGGAGTTTCGGAAGGTACGAGAGAATCGCGAGACTTGACACGCCGGAAGCGAAGAAGTAGAAGACGGGGATTCTCAGGGAAGAAGCTGCTTCCACGACGGAGGAGCAAAAGAGATCGGTTACGAAGGCTTTGACGGTGGCGGTGTTAGAGATTTGGGAGAGGGTTGTGGCTACATTGGAGAAGTTTCTATTGATAAAGGTGAAAGCTTTGGCGGCGAAGCTGGTGGTGGCGGTGGAGGGCGCGGCGTGGGGGAGGCGGAGGAAGGAGATGGAGGGATGGTCGGCGGAGATGCGGCGGATGTAGGTGTGGACGGAGGGGTGGTCGAGGAAACCGGTGGTGAGAAGGATGGTGAGGTTGAAACGGTGCGTTTGGAGGAGCTTGGCAAGTTCAACCATGGCTACAATGTGGCTTATGCCTGGTGCTGGATACATCACTATTCTTTCTTCTTCCATTTTTTATCGGTTGGTGCTTCGCATCAAAACATGGTGGTTTATTTAAAAAGACACTTCGTTTGGAAAGAGAAAAATTGTAGAAAATAAAATAAAAATAAACTCTATTTTCAAGTGAATTTAATATTAAAAATATCATTTTATAAAATAACAAGTAAATAAATATTATATAATTATAATTTTTATTTATTTATTTTAAAAAATATTAACTACTTTCTTTTCATATATTAAAAAAAAAAATATAAAAAATTAGATCATTCTTTATTACTTTCTTTCCTAATGAATAAAAGTATTTTTTTTTCTTTTACATTTTTTCCTAACCATTCCTTATTCTATATTTTCTTTCTTCAAATAAAATCAAATTTAGAATCAAATAAGAGTATAGATATCAAACATAGCGAGATGTTATAAAAATATCTGTTATTTATTATTTTAAGATTAAACAATTAATAATATTTATTATATGCTATATAAAAATTAGTTTGATTTCAATTTAATTTTTAGGCAAAAATCTTAAAATCGTGAGATTCCTGTGTGTTTTGTATATTAAGTATATTTATGAACCTCTAACCAAGAAGAAATCCTATGCGTAACATAATTAAAATATCATACAAATTTATTTTTTAATTTTATTTAACGTAATATACTACAATAATTTATTAAAGAAAAGGAAATATGTTATGACAGGAAAATGGGAAATGTGAAGGGTTTTAAGAAGAAAAAAAATGAATTTTCATTTTATTATAAATAAGATAAAAAGTTGTGATCCAATTTAATAAGTGATCATTTTTATAATTTTGTTATGTTTAATTGTTTTATGTGATTTCATGACCATTCTAAAAAATCAATAATAAATACATTTATGCATGAAAAACACCGTTAAATATGTGAAATAAGTAACGGAATTTATTTTAGTGAAAGATTAATTAAATTATTTTCTGGCAACTCAGAAATTTCATCGTTGAAATTTCTCACACTCTTAAAGAAAAGTCAGCAAAAAGGACAATAGTTGTTAAAATAAAGTCAAATTTAATATGATATGTTAAAATCAATTGAACTCAAATTATACACGCAAGTTTTATCAATTATAATTTTGAGGGGTGTTGCTTCACGTAAACATATTATATTTCGAAAATTCATATGTTGTTAAGACAGTTAATCTTAATTAGAAAGGTGTTTAGACATTTAATATTAGAACGATGAAAGTAAAAAATGAACCTCAAAATTATCGAATGAAGGAGGATTAAGCAAACCTGAATGTTGCGGCTCCGCGATGAGTGGACCGATAAAGTAAACACCAGGCGCACGTTTCGAATCTGGGAAGCACGCGCCCTGCGCGATGGCGTTGACTATCACAGGCTCAAGATCTTCAAACGAGTTCACTATTATCCCACGCGCTTCCTGAAGGTGCGTGCAGAAGTCCAGCATGTCCCAGTACGCAGGGTCTTCCCTGTCCAGCAAGGGCTCCGGCACGTCCACCGCCTTCAGGGGCACGTTTCCCGGCACGCGCAGCTCCACCCCGACCATCTCCTTAAAGGACGCGCTCGTCTCCTCGTGGAGTTTGGGAAAGTAGGAGAATAGTGAGAGAACGGCGGCGCCGGAAGGGAAGAAGAAGTACACTGGGATTCCCATTGAAGAGGCTGATTCCATGGTGGAGGCGCAGAAGAGGTCGATCACGAAGACTTTGACGGTGGCGGTTTTGGAGATTTGGGCGAGGGTGGTGGCTACGTGGGGGGCGTTTCTTTTGTTGAAGCTGAAGCCTTTGGCGCTGAAGCTGACGGGGGTTGAAAAGGTGGCGGGGGCGGTGCGGGGGAGGCGGAGGAAGGAGATGGAGGGGTGGGCGGCGGAGATGCGGCGGACGTAGGTGTCAATGGTTGGGTGGTCGAGGAGACCGGTGGTGAGGAGGATGGTGATGGAGAAGCTGTGCGTTTGGAGGAGCTTGGCAAGTTCCACCATGCCTACAATGTGGCCTATGCCTGCTGATGGAAACATGACTATGGTTTGTTGTTCCATTTTTTATGGTTAGGTTTGTGAAACCTTTGATTACATGTGAGTTTGTTTTGTATGTTAATGTCTGCCATATCATGGTTCACTCCTACAAAACACAGGTATTATTATTATTATTATTATTATTAATAATAATGTATGACATCTCAGTGCTACTTTTTCATCCTCAAATAATCAAAGTTATTTTGACCCTCCTTTTTCTAACTTTCCAATAATATTATTTTAATAAAATATCATCAATGATTGTGTATTTTCTAAGATATTTTGTTTATTTATTAGACTTACCAATCCTCCGTTGAATATTTTCTTGACTTTTACTAATATTTTTTAACATTAAAAAATTAATCGAGTGAAATCAGATTCTATTATTTCTAACTATGTATCCATATATTACGTTTTATAAATATTCTAGTTAAAAGAACGAATTGTTCACTAATTTTTTTGAGTTTGTATTACTTAATTATATAAATTAAGATGAATGATATTTTTATATATTAAAATCTCAAACTTATTTTATAAATGTTAATATATACAGAAAACCTTCTAAATTATAATTTATTTTGTTTTGTTTTAGTGTTAATTAATTTTGATATAAAATTGTCGATTGAATGAAGTTACTAATTTACGTCAATTTTTGACAAATTTTAGTTTTGTAAAATTAAAAAACATGAAAAAATTATGAGGGCTAAATTAACTATAGTTAAGGGTGATGACCAATTTTTGTAGTTTATGATACATGTTATAAAAAATATTCAAAGGCAAGGTTGAAATCATGAAAAAATAGTTTTGTATAATGAATTAAATAATATAAATTAAAATATCAAATTCTTGTATCGAAATTTATGAATATTTCCCCTGTAAATTAGCTTACACTCAAAAGTTGATTAAGAAACTTTTGGTTAACATGTTCGACGACTTCACAATTTTAGTGAAAATATTAAAATAACTTCAGATACTAAAATAGCAGTAGTCAGTAGTTGCTCTTAAACACATATACATATATATGTTGTGAAATAAACAAAAATATCGTAAGATTTTTTATTTTTATTTTTAAATGTAAATATGATATGAAATTGAATTAAAGTATATATTAACAATATCATTAAGTTTAAGAAAGGAACAAATTCAGTGTTTAGACAACACTTATTTTCTATTTCCCTATGAATTTGGTAGTCCTTAGTGTCCTAAATTATGCTGAGGTGATGATGTAGAATTGTTGATGATCTTAACTTGTGTTCTTCCTTATCAAATGACCAATGTTTGTGCACTAGAGTGAATATACATGAATTATATCAGGCAACCTCACTATTTGCTTCAAAATGGAAACCAAAAGCATAGGCCACATAATTAATGGCCATTTGTTGTTGTCACTGCCAAACTGTTATCTGTCCTATTTTGATACGCTGTTTGCCTTTGATTGATCTCTTTCCTGCACAAAAACATGCATACATCAACACCAAATTGTTTTTACACATTGTCCTTAGAATAGTCACTGTGATAGCAGTAAAGATCCAAAGGGCATAGCTAAGAGAAACCCAGATTTGGTGCAGTGTAAGGATATAAAGGTATAAAAAACAAGTATCAGATTCTAAGAAAAACCTGAGACATTGCCATAGTGCATCATAATGAAGAAGACCAACAATTCTCCTCTTTTTTTCTCTATTGTGATCTCCACCGCGTTTAACCACTGGTAATTGCTTAATGCCCTTGGCCTCCATCAGCTCTTTGGCCACAGCCAAACTAGTATTCGGATAGCAGGTCAAAATTCCTCGCTCTCGTCCTCGATAACTCATCCCTCGAGTACAAACAGAGGAAACAAGAAATGTGTTTGCCTGTCAAATATCCAACATGAATTATCATCAGAGATTTAGAGGAGACTGGGAACAATGGAGCACAGGCAGCATAATAAATAAGATCATCATGAATAACTTAGCGACAAATCTATCATAGCAGCGTAGCATGAAGCTCCGGACATGAATTTTGGTGATGTATTTTCTCAACAGTGCATAGAAAATCCATTCATCAAAGCATTATTATAACTCCGAAAGAAAAAGGAATAGTAGCAGTTCTGTTCCCGCTGGACCAAAATCTTGAAGACAGTTTAGTCAGTCCAGTTTGTTGCTAAAATGTATTCAGAAAAAAGCTTTTGCCAATAATTGTTTTTCTATTGTATGAATTGTAGAACTTCGGAAAAAAAAAAGTTTCTAAAACAATTTGCAAACAGACATGGCTCTCAAAAATATAAATAGCAGGGGCATTTTCTACATACATCCAGAATCCCTGAATCACTCTTCAAAGGGTCATTAGACTCCAGGGACAGACACCTTCTTATGTCACCATACGTCAATATTCCTTCTAGAAAATCTTCTTTATCAACCACCAGCACACAATTCTGATGGCTGTCATGCATGCATTTTATTGCCTCTTTCAGGGTTACAGATGACAAAACCTTAAAATATTGTTTTGACATTGCCTGAGAAACCTGGCAACCAATAATAATAGTGTCGAGATATCAGAGTTTACAGATAAAAAAACAAGACAAGAAGTCAGCATGCTGGAGAAATGGACAATGTCATTCATCAAAAGAAAATGCGGAAAATCTTTCCTCAACCTGAAGATTGTCCAGAAGCAGTTCCTTATCAATTGTATCAAGATCAGCGCCATCCCCAACAATAAGGAGTTCTAAATTATTCCCATCATTGGCTTCTCTCCAGTTACCCTCATTATCATCTCCAGCATGTGAAACTGGAGAATATCCTTTTGCTGAGCTACTTGCATCAGGTGTATCACTCTCCTTCGACTGGTTTGTCACTGAGGGAACCCATATTGCCAATCCAACAGCTCCCTAAGGACATGATTCACAATGACAAATATGAGAACATTAAGATATTAGCAATTTTCACTACAATAAAAAGATGCCCAATTTACAAGTTGAGGGAATGGGAAACCTGAATAAAACAAAAAGGTTGAGGTTCAAAGTTAAAGCCATAAGTTCTGGTTGATAGAAAATACTACATGCATTACAATGCCAGAGTAGTTGAAGCAAAAGTATTTACGCTAATTAAAAATATGTACTATTTAAGATAATTGCACAGGAATTAAAAACTTGACTTATTTACCCCTTGCTAAAATATTCAAAACAGCATCACTCAATTGATGCTCCCTCTCTCATTCCATTAAGTGGAGATACCAAACATGGATTAAAGTTGAACAAGAAAATATTACTTTCATTAAGCAAATGTGACATAACGAGTACCAGGGTTAAATTTGTTAATGTGAAAGAGAGAGAAGGTTGCCTCAAAAAGAGAGAGTTGCCTACATAAGCAATAATATCTACACATGAATTTGACGTAACAGAAAATTATACAATTCTTTTCTAATTGCATGCATAAAAATGATAATATATATTGATGTTCAAGTTCATATCAAAACACAACAAAGCCATGGTGTAATATTAGATATATGGAACCCCGGATAACCATCAATGAAACTAGGATGGTAAAACGGGCTATGCCGACGACTAGCCCATTTTGGCCCGTCTCGCTAATTCGGCAGGCCAAGGACAGGACGGACTGGTAAGTTGGGTTACTTTAAAAAAATATTTATATATTAAAATTAAAATAAAAAAATTATAATTAAAAAAATTATATTTTTTGTATTATATTATTAAAATATATAAAATATATTATAATATATAAAATATATTATAATATTATAATTTAAATTATAAAAATTAATTAATTAATTTTAAGTTATTAATTATAATTAGTTATTTTGACCCATAAATATAATATTTTTTCAATTTATCTAATAAAAATATTAACTAATAAATAAAAATTTAAAATTTATTCATATAATTAAAAATGTATTTAAAAAAATACATATAAAAAATTTTATATAAAAAATTATTGGTGGGTTGGTCCGCTGACTCGCTAGCCCGTCCTTTGACGGGATGGATTAAGGTTTGGATTGAGGTTTGTGACCCGTCCTGACAATGACATACCAACCCGCCCCATCTCGAGCTAAACGTGGGACAGGCCAAAACGGGTGAGGTGGCCCATTTTGCTCTCCCTAAATGACACAAAGGAATTATGTCACTATAGCCATCATCTTTAATAATTCAGCTGCCAAAAAGAAAGATATTTACAATTGACTCTTTCGTTACAATTGAGATTGACCCATTGTTGTTATTCATAGAAAATTGCAGAACAGCAGAAAACAACGCATGCCACAAAATGTAATTTCCATTTTCTGGAAAGAGAATTTTATTCAGGGTTACCATGAGTGGAAGCAGTATCCTATAATCTTTTGTCAGCTCAAACAGAAGTAGTACTGAAGTTAAAGGAACAGAACAAACAGATGCTAATGTAGCAGCCATTCCAACCTGCGCAAGTTTAGATTAACTTGTAACTGAATATTCATCAGACAAAACAGTATTATTGTTAGCATTAACATTTCTACAACCTACACTCTTAACTGTGATTGGTACAGAAGAAAACAGAAAGAACGGGAGAGAAATGAAAAGTAGTAAAAAATCATTATTTTCACGCTTTGGAACACACAAAAAGGAAAGGAAAAAAATCAACTGAGAGGAACCCATCCTACACTGGATAGAAAGCTAACAGAAAGAAGGGTCTTCAGCAGGCTTTTCAAAACCTTGCATTTCGCAGCAAAATTTATAAGAATAATATATAATTGAAAATATTATAATACTTTTTTTAGTTTTAGAATTTTTTTCGAAACATACAACAATAAAAAAATAATTAATAAATAAACAATTATATAATAAAATTTGCAGTGTCAATATTTAATATTTAAATAATGAAATTTTAAAAGTATTATTTATCAACTTTTTATTCATTAAAATAGTTGCTTTTTATTCTACATTTCACTTTTCTTTTCTTACTTAATAAACAAATTTAAAATTCATCTTACTTTTGAGTCCTTTTGTTTCCCTCTGCTTTCTTTCTTTTCACTTTCGTTCCCAAACCAAACATACTCGTACAGTAAAGTCAACTTACCAGAGCATATGCCGGGGGCTGAGCAACAGCAGCATTTCCAGGAATTGCTGAATTAATAATTTCAGCAGAAAAGCCTCCAAATACAGCACCAGCTGCAGCACCTATCATTAAACTTGGAGCATAAAGACCACCTACTAGCCCAGATCCCTTGCAAAGAGCTGTTGCAATAACCTTAGAAGCTACCAATTGAGTTAGAAGCCATATTCCGGGGGCTGAAGCACTCTTTCCAGTACGTAGAATTTCTTCCACATTTGTGAAGCCCCAATACAATATTCCAGGATATTTAAGAGCAATAATCCCAGCTCCAAGGCCACCTAAAGCAGGGCAGACCACAGCAGGTATGCCAAACTTATCCTGAATAATCTTAAAGAATTTGGTGAACCAAGCAACCAAACGAGTCATGGCTACGCTTATAATACCACACAGCATTCCCAATATCAGATATAAAGGTAGCTCTGCATGAAATATCATGATCAAATATAAGACTCAAGAATCATGGTAAGGTTATCTTCTATTGAAAAACACTTTTCTTTTTGATACTATTAAATGATATATTGACAGACATCATGCACATCTGTTATTCTCCCCATCAAGTATGGTACAAGGATAACTTATTTCAGAACTTTGTGGACATTACCTGGCAAGTATGGATGATGTCAGTGAATTTATCAGAATCAGAATCATTTAGAATTTTTTTTATGAACTGGTTTCTAAGGATTTGCTGCTAATATTTAGCATGATTTGTTCCAAAATAAATGGTTACTAGTATGACTGATATAATATATATAACTGGTTCCAAACTCTTCATTTTCTTCATTTTTTTTCCCTTTTTTAGGTACTGATTCTCGGGATTGAAGGAGAAAATAACAAAAACAAAAAGAGACTATTAAAAAAAAGGAAGGACACAGCGAGGAGCACCTAGGCAAATTTTGCAGACCGTAGGCCTCTGAGACTCAAGAAAAAGGACCACAGACCAAGGTGATAGCTGAAGTTAAACCTGGGACCTCCCAGGTTCAAACTTGAAGTACAAGCCCAGACTTGAAATTGAAGGCAAGTCCCAACTGGACTAATCAAACTACTTAGATTTGAGAAGAGGTGGAAAAATGAAGTCCCACATTGGTGAGTAATATGAAAATACAAGTGAATTATAACAAGGGAAGGGATGACAATCCCACTTGAGTTCAACTCAACATAGCAAAACTTGGATGGGGCAGATCATAAATTCCAACATATTATTATCATAGAGTTGTATTTATACATTGACTAAAGGCCTATTTATAAATCTTATTTTAGTTTTTTGGCAAAAATAATGAACTCAACATATATTAATTATTTTGTTGTTAGAATAGTTTAAATTATCTTCTGTACAACTTTGTAAAAGTTCTTTTTTTTTGGTACCTATCTATCATCTAGAGTCCTAGGGATGTACTTAGTTTTATTTCTTTCTCTCTCTCTTTGTACTTCTGTTGCAAGATACATACATATATAAAACAAGGTTAAAGAAAAGTACCAGCAGCAGATTTCAAATCATACTCGGGTATTGTAAAAGCTGATTGGATCCCCTGTAAAACATTTGATACAGTTGATGAAATAACAGAAGCCAATATAATCATGGCAGTTGTAAATGGGGGAGAGTTCTCTGCACGAAGAGGCCTCAGCACAGTTTCAATAGCAAAGAAACAACCAGCGACAGGTGCATTGAAGCCTGAAGAGAAGAAAATTGAAAGCTAAAAATTGGAACAGAGTATATTAACAGTTTATTATATTTAATTCAGAGATCAATTAAATTTTTTTACTAAGAAGCTACTAAAGAGTATATGCGTAAACTTAATGCTCATTCAAAATTTATTAAGGTCTGTTCAACTTATTTCCTGTGATATGACAAGATTAAATGTCCACATGGCTACAAATTTAGAAGCAAAAACAATTCATCTCTTATGAGATAACATCTTATTAGGATCCTGCCTCCTGCAACAACACAATTGTTTTTAAATGAATAATTTAAGACAGCAAGGGGAAAGGGAGGATCAATCATGAATTATCTTAGGGCACAAGAAGGGGAGGGGTGTATCAAATACCATACTAGAAGAGTTAGAAGGATGTTCAAGGAATGATGTTCCAGACAAGGATAAAACAGATAGAGAGAAAGATAGAAGAAAATAGTTTAAAATAGAAATCTCCTTTGTAAAAGACACCTCTTTCTTTTTTAAAATGTATTGGAGTTAAATATTTCCTCTGATTGATTTTTCTAGAATATTCAAATAATATTCTCAAAATATTCCTTGTATATTCTAGATCATTTCTCTAAAAGAAATATTTTTTTCTAGAAGCTTCTGGCGTGTTCTAGAGCAAGGTAGTGAAGTGCCATTAACTAACACTAACCTATCATCATCTTTGAACAAGAAGATTGATTATCTTTGACTAAGGAGGTTGTAACTTCTAAACTCTTCCTCATCATTAAATCTTCCTTAATCTTTTTTTTTTTTTAAATTCCCTTGACACACTTCTAATCCTATAAATAGAAGTGTTCATCCTTTGTAAAGATCACATTCGAAGTTTTTATATTGGAGAGCTTCTTCAAGTGGTGAATAAGCAACACACTTATCTTTGGTGACATTCAAGGTGGCGTCTTCTTTCCAATTCCTCATCTTGTCCATTTTTATTTTTCATTTTACCTTTTGTTCTTGTTTTCCATTGGGATGAATGTTTTAGAGGGAAGTGCTATGATATGGATGTAGGAATTATGGGATGCCAAAGTCCCATATCGAAAAGTATGACATATTCGGTGGAGTACTTAGGTGGTCTAGTTCTCCATTATTGGTTGCAAACTTTTAAGGTAAAGTTCATAAGTGTTTTGGGGGCTTATCAATATAGGAAATACTGCCCGTGTGAAGAATGGCAGTCGCACAGGCTATGATTTTTGCAGTTAGTGGTTGCAACTCCCTCTGCAATAGCAGTCATCAGTCTTCTTTTTATGAAAAGAAAGAGTTGAAAAAACAAATAATACATCATGTATACTGGGATATATTAAGGAAAAACTACAATCAGTGCAACATGGAAGACATATGGTGAACATATAAATAATTTCCTTCTTTAGTAATTTTTCATTGGTTAAATCACCGTTGAAAACATTCAAGGAGGTTTAAATGACCAGCATATATGAAATGAACAAACATCAAAATGCGTTTAAAAAAGTGACTTCAACTAATATTGGCAGCTACCTGAAGAAATTCCAGCCGCTGCACCAGCTGCAACAAGTGCTATTTTCCGTTCTCTGTTGTGTTCCATCATTAGTGAGAACCCGTTGGCACATGACTTCCCAATATCAACACTAGGACCTTCAGGACCCAATGAACAGCCAGTACCTAAAGTAACTGCAGCCTGAATAGCCTTTATTGTTGGAAAGATTCCTGCAAGAAAATCAAAACCTTGTGTTTGAGAGGGAGTGGACTGCTTTATTTGGTCCAGTATTTCCAGTAAACCACACATCATGCCGACAATGACTCCTCCAGTGACAGGTATTAAAAGGATTCGATGCCATGTATCAGCCAATCTCTGAATACGAAGCCAGGCAGCACCCTCAATTGGAGTACCAGCCCATACCCATTCATGTATTATATGCACCTAAATTACCACATTTCAGTATATGTCAGATAAATCATCTTCCTCAACAGGTTTGGTAAAGATCCTTATGTAAAATTAGGATATGTATAACCAAATAGCCCAAGACCAAATTATTCTGGTGCTCAATGTATGACAGAAACAGACAAAAACAGGTATCAAAGATGGCTTGGCAACCACGACAATATACTTTACAAATGCCAAAATTCTCAAAGACAACATTAAGAAAATAAATATATACAACTACAAGCAACCCTTTTACCAGTAGATGGGGTTCACTATATGGACCAAATGATATCATAATGTTCCATTGTAATTATTTCTCCTAAATTTTTTAGTAGTCTCCATCTGCCTCTAACCACTAAGCTACCTCCCTCTATCTATTTTCCTTAGTGCCGGTTGTGTAGGAGTAGGTTCTCTCCAACTAGCAAGACTCAATAATAGAAGTAATAAACAAAATAAAGCAGCTACAAAAAGACTTATAGATGACATTATTGCCAACAAGAATAGTCGAAAAAAGAGAATTTGTAATCATTTCAGTCAGTCATGGTTTATGCAGAGTAGATAACTCCAGCATATATTATGGGTTGTCTAATTCCTAAACCAGCCCTACTTTTAAACATTTAAGACAGTACTTACTTGACTTTGAAGTTTTAACATTAGAGAGATTCTTATGTACTTGGATAGCTCTACAATAGTGGCCAGTCCAATAAAAAAACAAAAAGTTTAAGATCTGAGTTGTTGAAAATCAACTATTACAAACTCTTCCTCCCAACATTATACAATAGTATGTTTTTGTTCCTGTCCACTGAGATCCATGAACACACATTACATACACGATGAAAGCATCTTAGTTTTAGAACTTGAACATCTTTCATCTATTATGTGAACTTGTATAAGAAACAGATAAACAAAGTGCAACCAGTGCCAAGAACAAGTGGAAATCCAATATAGCAAGCAACTCAGAAAACATGTTCATTAGTGAGAAATTAACAGCAGTGACCACTGTCAAGCTTTTCAAAAATGGATGGAGTCAGCTACATGAATCAAAATACACTATTGAGTAAATCAATAAATCCACAATCATAAGCAACTCAAAAAATGTTATTTAGTGAGAGATTAACAATAACAACCATCAATCATTTTACCAATGGTCGGAAGCTACATGAATCAAATGACACCATTCAATCATAAATCATGTCTATGCACAAACTATAGACCTCTAAATCCTTCCTAATGACTTGACCAACAAGTTTCCATAGGTCTCCCTGTCTCTACTAATTGGAACTATATTTACCAAGCACCTTAGTACAGGTATATGGTTCTTGTAAGTACCCAGTTCATCACGTTTTACATTATAATTAAAGGACTTCCTTTGAAGAGAATCTGCCACAACGGCGTGTATATATGGCGGAATTATTGCTTCCACCGCTCACCATTATAACACTGCTCTGTTCTATGGTGCATTTGGTAGGCAATACACAGGGTTATTGAGAAAAGTCCATAACTGCAAAGGTTTCGTGACCGATTTTTCGGCCACAATATCATGGGTTTTGGACTCTACGACAATATTTGCAGCCAAATTTGTCCACAAAGTCAAGGATCGCAGTGAAACTGCAACTTAAAACCTTGGTAACTATTCATTTGACTGTGTCCACCATCATGTGATTTATTAGTCAAAAAACAACTGAGAGATAAACTAATGAAGTTAGAAAATTTGGCATACCCCTTTATTGAAAAAGGCAACAAAGAGGCCAGTGGTGAGTCCAATGAGGCAACCAATGAGAAGCAACGCCCATTCAGGAGGTGCACTGTCGCCAAGCACATCAACAGAGGAGTCAAGATCCACATCGTGGTGAAGCCGATCGTGATCCCTTCTATCTCTATCTCTATCCCTGTCTCTATCTTCTTCTTTCTCAATGCGCTTGAAACTCGGTCGGTGACCCGACAACCTTAACAAATCCCTCAAACCTTTGTTGTTACTGCTGTTTCCGCCATTGACGACGACCAATTCCGACCCTCGAGCTTCCACGTCATCCACCGACGTCCCCAGAAGACGGCGCTGATCGCTCTCCGACATTGAAAAACTCCCTCAGATTCCTTCCACACCCATCAACCAAAGGTTCTCGCTTTCGAAAACCCACGTCTCAAATCGCGTTAATTCCAAAACCCATGTCTCAAATCGCATGGATTTCAAAACCCATTTAGATGGAACCAAGGTGAAGAAATGGATCTCGCCGCGTCACTGTTGCATGTGGCGCATAAAATGGAAGTAGCGTTAGGCACGTTTCCAATCACTTTGTTTTATTATCCAATCATGAGCCAAATCAAAATCACAAACACTTTTTGCGTCTTCTTTACTTCTCACAACACACACAACCTTCTCTGCGATGCGTTCTTCTCTTCCCAGAAAACGTGTTTTCAACAAAATTGAAAACAACGTCCATTCTTTTAAATATATATAATTATAATTTACAATTTATGGCACTTCAAAAATATTGTACACGAGTTGTTACAGAATTTAATTAATAACATTAAAATAATTCACAGTGCAAGTGTTTTTGGTTTCTTTTTCCGCAATATTAAAAACATGGGGAAATATCAAAATTCAAACATTTCAAAGAGAATCATATATTTTGTATTGTACTAAACAATTAATTACATTAGAATAGATAGAAAATTCTAATTTTTTTCTTTAAATTAAAATTAATTCATAAACTTTATATTTTTATAAAAGGATGAAAAATAAAAAAGTTCCCATATAATTATAACATGAACGAGAGACACGTTACATTAAATTTTATTATTTAATTTGATTTTCCTTATTTTTACTCTTTGTTTTCGCTTAAATCCTCTTTATAAGCAAACAATTTTTGTTTCACTTTTAATTTGTGATCCAATTACTAACACCAAATACTCTAAATATTCGTGGTATAAATTACTTATTAATAATAAATTTAGTAACAAAATTTATTCTCCTTAAAAAACAAATAATTTGAATACTTAAAAAAAAAATTATGATATGATCTTCTTTAACATTTTAGCACATATTTTTTAAAATTTGTTTTATTATTTTTTTAATATTAACTTGAAAGAAATAAATAAAAAATTATATTTGATCAATAATGTAATAAGCAATTAGTGTTGGAACTATAAAACTGACTTAGGGCAGTGGCATTTCCCGAAGAAGAAAGAAAAAGAGAAAAAGGAAAATGGAACAGAATTAGTAGTGATGTTGCGAATGAACACCATCAAATGTTCCCCTCTTCCTATAATTCAATTTGTTCCATTCGCGCACGATCGTAGATTCATCTTCTGCGAATGCAAATAACTCTTCGATCTTCGTCTTCGTAGCGTAGCATGACCCACACCACTCCATCGAATAATTTTCTATTGCTGTTGCTGCCACTGCTGACCAACAACCACTTCGCCAAAACCCTCGAACCTAACTCGTCGATCCCTTTCCGCCTAACCTTCATTTGTTGAATGGCTTAGAAGATTTTGAGCAGAATCATTTGAATTGGATTGATCTGATCGCGCGGAGAGAATAACGTCACTATGCAGGCTCGCCAACGCAGTCCGCGAGGGTTTTACCCGTCGGAGTACCGGCAGCGTGAGGGGGGGCTGGGGAGAGGCCGGAGAGGGGACATTTTCGTTGAGGCGGGGCGGCTCGCCGCGGAGTATTTGGTTTCCCAGGGGCTGCTGCCGCCCAACGCGTTGCCGCCTAAATGGCAAAACCACAAGGCTCAGGTGGAGGGCAGCGGGCGGCAGTCGGCGCTGGCGCGGCTCGGGAGCGCGGATGGGAGGAGGAAATTGGGGTTTGATGAGTTTGGGCAGAAGGGGAGGAGGCGAGGGAGCTTCAGCAGGAGTAATGGGATGGATTGGGGGAGGGATTATAGGAGGAATGGATCTTGGTCTGATCGTCGTGGCGCCAACGATGTTAGGGATGTTGAGGATGATGATTATGAAAGTGGTGGATCTAGTGTTAGACACCAAGATGAGGAGGACCATCACCAGTACCATCACCACCAACAACAACACCAGAATAATAGTGATGATGCTTTGGTAAAATCGAATTCGAGTGAATTTACTCCGAGAAGAGAGGATGGTGGTGATTTGAGTGATAAGGATAGGGATAAGGAGAGGGTGAGTGCTGAATTGTTGGAGTTGAATCAGAGTGGTGTAGGGAAAGATGTGAGTGATGTGGACATGGGGGTTGGTGTGGGTAATGATTTGGAGAGTGTGATTGTCGGGGTTAAGGAGGTGAAGGATGATTGTGCTGGTGATGATGATATTGAGAGATTGAGGAATGTGTCTGCTCAGTTGAGTGATCAGGAGAATAGTAGCTCTGGTGGCGTTGTTACTGATTTGGTTTCGTTGTGCAAGTCTGTGAAGGTGCCCACCAGGACGCGCTCTTCGATTACACGTAAGAATTTGAAAGCTGGGAACCATGGAGATGGGTCCGGGAGTGCACATGATGTTGAGGATCTTCAAGGAGCTAACTCAGCTGAGGAAGTCTTGGCTGAAAATGAGTCTGTTAAAGGCTCCTCATCGGGTGGGTTACTAGGTGAGAAAAGTTATGATATGGTACATGTTGACTCTGATGCTGCCGAGGTAGAACCAGTTTGTGTTGCTGAGGATGTGAGAGAATTAGATGCTGTGTCTAAAGCTGAGGATGTGAGAGAATTAGATGATGTGTCTAAAGCTGAAGATGTGAAAGAATTATGTCAGTCTGGTCAGGATAGAAGTTTTATTCAGGATAACAACCAGGAGTCCAATGCTACACTACCCGGGTATGGAGGTTGCAGGTCCTTGTCTGGGGAACAGGGTCAAAAGCGGGTTTTGGAAGATGATGATGATGATGTTAGGGAGGACAACAAGAGACTGAGAGAATGGTTGCCTTCCCTTGTTCCTAAGACTGGAGGTTACTTTTTGCATAGTAATCCAATTGAAGTGAAAGAGAGCCCAGTGGAAGATGGAATTTCACACATTGACAAAGTGATTATGACCTCAGAGCAGGGGAGCCTGATGAGTAGTGGTTCTCAGTTTACAGTAGGTGGACATAGATCCTTTCTTCAGTGTTCAGATGAGAAGCCTTCATTGCCGAGTTCGTTTAGAACCTGTGATCTGAATCTCATTGAAGCTTCTGAAGTGCATGAAAGTCATGTTGATCAGCCCGTTCTTATTTATCCCCCTGCAGTTTCTGAAGCTAAGAAAGCTGTACCAATTGGCATAGATCTGACCATGAGTCATGCTAGTGTATCAGGAAAATTCAATACTCATGCAACAAATGGCAAAGAGATTGAAGTAATTGATTTAGAAAATGATTCCATTCAAGAAGAAAAGTCAATTGACAATATGGATAGAAAGTATGTTTTTCCTACTTCCTTCCTCCAAAAGTTTTATGTTAGCTTTCCTACTTCCTATTCTATATTGCTTCATTCAGTTACTTAGTGAAAATACCAGTGGACTATATAGTTTTAAATATCCTTCATTTATGCTGCCATTCTCTGTGTAAAATATTGTCTTTGAAATCACAGGACAGAGACTATGTTTCCTGGCCTTGAAGGTTTTCCGAACCATGCTCAAAATGCTGCTGACATACATGATGTTCAGGATGGTTATGGACTTATGATATCAGAGTTGCTTGGGCCAGATTTCACTAATTGTTCTTCAGTAGCTGGTGACATAAACTCTGTGCACAACGAGATGGGCCTTCATAGTGGAACAGTATGAAGCTACCTTCAAATTTAGATAGATTTTGATGCCAGTCCTTTTAACATAGCCTTTACTGACTTGATGGTTGTTGCATGCCTTTTTAATCTACAGTGAAATAATTCTTTATGCTGATAAGATGTTTATTAATAATCATAGTTAATGATTTTCACATAATTCCTTTTTGGTTCCAGGGGACACTTGCTGAGGATGATTCCATATATATGTCGCTTGGAGAATTAAGTATGCCAGATTTCTATTAGTGCTTTGTTTTCCTATTCGTTAAAAGTACCTGTGATTCGTGTTAGTGAATATTTGATGCTGCAGTTATGAGTGATGATTGGGTAGGTTATGGCACTAATACTTGGTGGACTTTTTGAGGTGGTTGAAATGCAACTATGTATTAATTTGTTCAATATTATAAGGGCATAGCTGTTTTCTTGAACTTTAGAATGTGTACATAGCATTTTTCCTATCATTAATAACACCAAGGCACACATATATTGCTAGACAATTCTGTATGTGTGCACTCTCTAAGTTCCTTTTATTAGTTGATGAGAGTGGGGTTATTAACCCTAACTTTTTTCTTCTTCTGTTCTCCTTCTAGTGGTCCTGTTTGGATGTTTTCTCCAATCACGCATATTGATTTTGCGCTTCACAGCTCACCTTTTTGGTCCGGATATCCTTTGAAGTTTGATTGACGCCACCATTTAGATTGTCTCTCCTTGATCAATTGCCTACCCAACCCTACTAAGTTGCTGCTTCTACCTTATCATGTTCTTTCACCACATGTTAGCCTTGTCACTCTACATTGGTGTGTGACGTAATCTTTCGAGTGACACAATCTTTTGCTACAAAAGTTGGGTAGTGTTCTTGCAAATAAAGAAAACAGAAAAAAAACTTTGCATGGATTGCAAAGTCAACACAGGGAGACTTTACTACCCAATAGAGTTAGGGAATTGATATAAGAGTTGAGAAGATAGTTAGGAGGAATAGACAAGATAGGATTTCAAGGATCAAGTGGTGGCAAGCAAATGAAGGCAAAAAACAAAGGAACTTTCAATGAAGAGTTCTTGAGGAGGTCTTGGAAAGTCAAAGAAAGTGATAATGTATATTTAAAAAAAAAAATCCAAAAGAGTATTTATGTTTGATAGAAAAAAAATACTAATTGGGGCTTGAAGTTGGTAGACGAAATAAGGGAACAACAACCTAGAGTAGACTTCCATTCGTTGGTTGAATGAAGAACTATCAGGATATTCCTTCAATTTTTTGAAGCAAATATGTGGGACAAATGTTCAGAGGGATTAGGAAGGTAGTAACATAAATTGTTGATGAATCAAGAGGTTAGGGACCTAAGGGTAAATGATGCAAGTGTGGAAAGTAAAGTTAAGGTTAAAATATAAAGTCATAGTGTGGATTCATGTAAGAATGTTGAAAATTGGGAAGAATATTGTTGCTTAGAATGAAGCCAAGAAAGTGGTGAATGAGTTGAGAACTACAAATTTTGATGGATACTAAAGATGAAGAAAGAACAATTTACAATCTTCCTGAAAGTAGGGAAATGAAGTGAAATGTGTTAACAATGAAGCTAAAGTCTTGATTACAAAATAATGTCATAGAAAGACGCAAATAAAAAGTGGGATAAAACCTAACTCAACTTTACAGAACTAACTCATAAAGTGAGGTTTGTACCTTATATATTATAATTTAGTTATATCTCTAATTGATGTGAGACTAGATATTTATGGGTGATCTGATAACGGTTTATATGATAGGCCCAACAAACCTAGTTCACCTACTAGGATAGGTTCTAAAATTATCTTAAAATGTAAGTTAAAGCTTAATTCTACTTTACAAAACCGACTTATAAGGTAAGGTTTATATCCACTTATGTACTATAATTTGGTCATATCTCTACTTGATATGAGATCTCAAACATACTTCAACAAGCTATGTAATGAAAACAATTTTTTTGCATTCAATAGGATAATAACAATGTATGGGGACCGATTTTATGCCTTTTATCTTAGAATTTGGCAGCTTGAGGTTAAAGAAGCATTGAAGAGGATGGGAAATAACAAAGAAGTTGGTGCAACTAACATAAACATTGAGGTAGAGAAGGGTCCAAGCAAGGAAAGTATTAGTTGGCTTAGAAAATTGTTTAACAAGATTACAAGGGCTAAGAAGATGTTGTACAAGTGGAGTAGTACTTGAATCACTATTTATAAAACAAGTGAGATTTACATTGCAAGGGACAATTGGAAAAGAGTCTAGTTAAACAAGACAAAGAAATTTCAAAAAATATCTTATAATTAAGGATGGAGAAACAAATAATGTTAAAACTCAAGTTGGCGTGAGTTGTAAGGGTTCTTACTCCTTAAAGCAAGAGTTGGTTTTGATTCCTTCTAAAAATATGATTATATAAATAGGAAAATGTTGTATAGCTTTATTTTAGGGTTTACAATTTATTTTTCTTTCCTTTCCATTTTTGAATCATTAATATTCCTCATAAACAAATAATAATGTGTGTGATCATAACACAATTCTTGTAAACCTATTAAATGGTATTCAAAGATCAAGGTTTGATCTTCTCTTCATGTGTGATCAGTACGCTAAAAGTGAAGACAAATATTATAATGAAGAGTTTGTATTGTCTGAGAATAAAATGTTTGATGAATAAGTTTTTTCAAGGTTAGAAAGGATTGAAATTGTGTACACAAGTACTCTCTAGCATTATTTGTTCACAAAATTTTAAGAGATGTCCCATATTAGTTTTGAATTTCATGAATTTTTCTTTGAAATACAAAGAAAACATTATAATGATTTTCATTAAGAAAGCTTAAGTACAATGAGAAACATCATCAATGAATGTCACAACATATAAAAATCCTAAAGTTAAGTAGACTCAACTAGGCTACCAAATATCAAAGTGTACCAAAGGAAAAGGTGTATGAACATTTATTGACTTGAGGTTTATAAAAATGATGAACATGTTATCCTAATTGGCATGAATCACATTGGAAGGACTTAAGCGTGGAGAGACTAGGAACCAAAAGGCATAATTTGTTTATGCTATGATGATCGGGACATTAATGGATAAGTTCTAGAATGCTTGTGGTAACAAAGGCAATTAGTGGCGAAAATTCCTAGACTCATGTTTTGCTCCAATCATTTGTTCAGTACAAGATGAGCTCCTTATTGTCCTACACAATGGCACATGGGAGTTCCTTTAATTCTTGTGAAGCCTATTCTTGGTTGTCATTGGATTTACACCGTTAAGGTTTGATCAAATGACAATATTGACCGATTCAAGCTGGTTTGGTCATTTTAGCAATGCCTTTCTCCAATTTGGTATGTGTTGTTAAGAAGTTCACTATGTATTTCCCAACACTCTCCTTCCGACCTACACATTTATTTGATGGTATATGTGATGACATCATCATTGTTATTAATGACTATGATTGGATCCAATGGTTCAAGGCTCACCTTCAAAGTTTGCATCGGACAAATGATTGGTCGTTAGAAATATTTTTAGGCATTGTGGTTGCTCAATCCACCTCTGATGCCATTTCTTGGAGAAAATATGGTCTAAATATTTTCATTCTGATTGGTATGGTATGTTTGATTGTCGTCTTAGTGACACCTCTATGGACTCCAACGTTAAGCATCTTTTTGGTTATTGGGTTTTTGGGAACCACTAAAAGATTTGTGAAGATACTACAAACTTGTTTGTAGCTCAATATCTCATTATGACATGGGTAGACATCATCTTTGTAGTTAATGTAGTTAATGTGGTAAGTTAATTTCTAACCTTTGGGATGTTGTCATGTGCATCCTCAAATATGTGAAAAATGGATTCTTAATATGAAGAAAAAGAAAAATCCAAGATTGTTTGTTACTTTAATGTTGATTGAACAAGACCACCATCAAATAAGATATCTAACATCAACTATTATGTTCTTCTTGGGAAATTTGATATGATGGAGAAGAAAGAAACAAAATACATTTGCTAGATCTAGTGTTGAAGCTGAATACTGTTCATGATAGTAGCTACATGTGAAATTACATGGCTTAGACAACCTCTCTAGCAATTACAATTTGGAGATATTTAGGGCATCGAGCTTATTTGCAATGGCCAAGCTGCACTTCACATCCCATCTAATTTGGTCTTCCATGAGTGAAGGAAACATGGAGATAGATTATCATTTGAAAGAGGTAAAGTGCTACTAGGAGAAATCACTACCAACTTTGCTAGCTTTACTGAGCAATTGGCAAATATGTCCACAAACTCATTCAACAGGTCTTGTGTAGATTGAATTTGTAATAAGGCTTGATGCATATGACATATATGCTCTAGTTTGAGGGGAGTGTTAAGATATAATCGTGTTAAGTAAAGAAATATTATATAGATTTACTTTATGGAATCTTTTCCTTTTCTTTCCTTTCCGATTTTGTAATAGAGAACCATGTGTATGATCATAACATTAAATTCCTGTAAACCTGTTAAAATTTCCAACTCATGTGTACGGTGCAAACCTAGTTGGGTGGGGTCTACCCTTTTGCCTTTTGTACCCCAAATGAGATTAGGACCTATGATAGGTGGGGGACATTCCTTGCAAAAGCAAAAGAACGGGAAAACCCACTATATTATTGTTTATTGGATTAATATTGGAAAAATAAATATTCTTAGATGTTGTCTTCACTAATTTGGATAAAAGGATATCTATGATACTGTCATGCTGAGAAAGGTATCGTGGACAGCCATAGAGAAGAAAGGACTTCGCATTGTATATATTTGAGCAACCAAGGATATGTAAGAGGGTGTCACAACTAGGGTGAAAACACAAGAGCCTCTCTTGTCTTGGATGTACTTACCAAGCATATCCAAGAGTCAGTACTATGATAAATGCCTTTTGCAAATGATATAATTTTAGTTAGGGAATTCAGAGAGCAAATAAATTGACAAACTTTGAAAGACATTGACTTCTGCCTAGCTAAAAGTACAGAGTATGTGGGATGTGAGTTTAGCAAAGGGCACAAAAACCTAGTTTAGAGATAAACCTTGGGAAACATACTTCACTGCAAATCACATGGTTTCAGTATCTAGAGTTTATCACACAGAACAATGGAAAAATGAGTGAAGATGTGTTCCATAGGTTCAAACGGGATGGATTAAAATGAAGGAGTGGTTTGGGTATTATCTATGACAAAAAGACAGTTGACAGTCATGCATGATGTCCTATGTTAGCCTGTGAATTGCATGTCCATATCCAATTTCAAGTTCTGCACACTGTTGTCAGATTTTACGAATTGGAATGACCATGTCTACTTACACCGCTGGGAGTGCTATCAGAATAAGTTCTGATAAAATCCCTTTAGAATGGCTTAATTTTGCTAAGATCTCACATCTGCTATCCATTCCATCAACTTTGCAAAAAATAAGGAATTTGGGTGCGACTCAACCTTTAAATAATAAAAAAACTCATAATACAATTAAATTAAATTCCAATAGACTAATGGCAGAATGATGATTTACACATGTTATTGCTCTTCACTCCTTGGCCAAATCACCTATATTGGCCTTTGTTTAGGTGTGGTTTGAAGTACTGGGGTATTATGTATATCTAAGCAAGACAACTGTTGATGTTCATGCTTGTGATCCTTCTTGGTATAGAAGTGATGACTAGTTGTATATAGCCTATATGGATCATTTTAAGCTGCTCCCAATATTTTATCCAAAATAGTTAAGGTTGCAGGATAAAACATTGTACACTAATATTCAATGCTTTTACGTGGTTATTTAAATCTGTACCTAATTTCATTTAAATTCCAATAGACTAATAGGCAGAACGATGGTTGATCACTTGTTATTGCTCTTTGAGCTGCTTTCGATATTTGAATCCTTTTGTACTTTCACAATCAAATATATACCTAGGTATATCCTCTCTGTTTTATATGGCCACAAATAATTTTCTGCTTTGTTTACAACTTTTTTACCTCATAGGGCACACATCATCAATCTTCATGCAATCACAACCCTCGGCAAAATAACATTGTAAAGTGTAAAAACTGTTGTTTAAAAGAATGCTCACATGTTTTGCTCTTCACAATAAAATTCTTTTTGAGATTTTGTGGTGATGCAGTTCTCATTGTATGTTACTTAATTGCTTACCCTTTTTGGTTTTACTAGATTACCCTTTTTCTACACTCATCTGTTTTCTCTTCCCTTTGTGGGTTTAGCTGCACTGTGCATGTGCTTTGTTATTGATCTTGACCTATGAAGCACCGACACGGCTCCCCTCACCCGTGTCGGAGTGTCGCGGACGTTTGGGACACCGACACCGCAACGACACTTCGCAGAAGCGTGTCCGACTCTTTTTTGCAGTGTCCCCCTACACCAAAAACGCGTCGCGAGACTTCGATTCATGTGGACACGGCGTGACCTAAATCCGACACGGTGTCAGACACGGCTCCGACTCGGGTACAACTTTTATAAAAAAAAAAATTTGAATTTTTTCTATTTACTTTTTTCTCCCGCTTTTCTTCCTTCCTTCCTCTGCACGTATCCTTCCTTTCTTCCTTCTTCTGCACGTATCCTTCCTTTCTTCCTTCCTTCCTCTGCACCTTTCCATTTCTGCACCAAAACTTTCCTTTCATCCAAAAAAGCTTTCCTTTTTTCCTTCCCGTTTTCCTCTGTCGTGTGCTTCTGTGCAGCCGAGAGCACAGACCACACAACGCTCTTTGCCCAATGAACTCCGAAATAACGAAGTAGTTGAAGAGTCACTGTTAGCAATGTTGGCAGGGAAAGAGTGGAGGCAAAAAGGGCAATGTTGGCAGGGAAACAAATGAAGAGCCAGAAGGTTTTGATGACATTGATTCATTAAGTGATAGGGGTAAGATGGATGCAAAATCTTGGTGGCTTGTTTATGGTGCTCATGCTCCAATACTTCAAAAAATTGCTCTTAAACTACTTGGGCAACCATGCTCTTCTTCATGTTGTGAAAGAAATTGGAGCACTTACTCTTTTATTCATTCTATGGAAAGAAACAAGATGGCACCATATAGGGTAGAAGATCTAGTATTTGTTCATAGCAACCTCCGTCTTCTTTCAAGGAATTCTCCACAATATAACCAAGAGGAAACAAAAATGTGGAACATAGCAAGAGATGCATTTGGATCACTAGATGAGAGTGGAATGCTTGAAGTTGCAAATTTATCACTTGATGAACCAGAGTTAGAGAGTGTATTTTTCAATGATGATGATCATGAAGACCACTGTCTTTAATAGATTTGATTCATCTTCTTATTTTGAGACTTTCTTTTTGTAAAAAGACAAAGTTTTTATATTGGGAAATAGTAGTTCTTAGTATTTTTTGGTTAGGATATCATATAAAAATTGTAAAATCTAATAACTTTGTCTTGAGAAGATGAATGAACAAATCTTAATTTTTAATTTATATATTTCTCATTTGAATCATATTTAAATTTTTATTCATGTCTAATATATATAAGGTGTCCCGGTGTCCTATATTTTAGAAGTTTGTCGTGTCCGCGTGTCCGTGTCGTGTCGTGTCTCAGTGTCCGTGTCGGAGTCAGTGCTTCATAGATCTTGACCTTGGACAGGACAAACTTTGTGCCAAGTCTCACAAATTCATCTTCTAGGACCACTCTTGGCTTCAAAAAGGATATTCAAGTTTGCTACCTAACTGAAGCAAATGTTACCTTCCTTGAAAGTTCTTCTGAGCATTCCCTTTGTATGAGGTTCTTTACATTCCCTTGACTGGTTCTTCTGCGGAGTTCAGGTTTTGTTGTTGTTGCTCGGATCCTAATCTATTGCCAGACCACTTGAAGCACCTGATGTCTCTCTTTCTCCAATTTCCTTACCTTGCATGATCCCATCTACAGTAACCAATCGTTCTGTTTCCTATTTGTTCCCCCCGTAGTCTGAGTTGCATGGATGATTCTGAGTCACTGTTTCTATCTTCACCCACTATACTTTGGGCACTTCTTTTCACCTGTCCCTATACCAAAGATTACTTGTAAGGCTTTATGCCATTGTGGGTCGCAAAACAATGGTGGATTGGACAAGGTGATTGCCTTGTATTCTATTGTCACTTGGTTCTGGTTCTTTCATCTTGTACCTAAGATATATTTGGCCGTTTCTGTGCATGCACACTTAAAGCTGGCCAAGTGATCGGATTGATTTATTCAAAGCAAGGTTGGTTGTTTATGGCTTGGCAAAGATGTATGGGTTGGATTAAGGTGATACTTTCTAACCTATGAATAAATTTTCTTCTGTCAATGTCTTTCTCTTTACGGCTGCCGTGGGCATTTGTCCGCATTAACAACTTGATGCTATAAATGTCTTTCTCCGTGCTTAGCTTGCGAGAGAGGTTTGTATGGAGAAAACACCATAAGTTTGGATTACTCTAGCACCTGTGTAATGCTCCTTGTATTTGGTGACAGCAATTTATCCATGATTGGGTAGATTTAACGTAGTTATTCAGAAGTTTGAGATGATTTATAGTGACCAAGATCTCTCGATTTTCTTTTGTCATTTCTCTGAATTCCAAAAGTATACATTTGGTGGTCTTTGTGGGTTATGTTGTCACAATGTCATCACAGATTGTGATAAGGAAAATATCTGCCAACTGAAAAGCACATTTTCCCCGATGATTCTGGCTGGGTATTGAAGTGGTTCAGTATTACTGGTGTTTCAATCTCGTGTAGAAAATATGGACAAATATGGACAAGATGTACCGGAGGATACTGAAATGACAAACTAATGATCTGTTTACACACTTGTGATCCAAATGTCATGTTTCTATCTAAAAAAGGGGGAGTCATTGCTAGAAACTAGGTGGCATTTGAACTAGTTCACTATCATGTGACCAGACATCTCCTTTGTTGTGAGCATGGTATATTTTTTTCATCAGGCTCCATGTCACCGCCAATGGGATGATGTAATTCTCATTAAAATCACCAGGAGAAGGATTTCGATATATTTTGGAGATCTCCTTCATATAGATATATAACTTTCGTCTATTTTATAGGAAATCTAAATTGGAAAAGTTTGAATCAGGGTATTATTGCCTTGTCAATTGCAGAAATAGAATATTAACTATTGGCAATGGCATTGGCAACATGTGAACTCTGTTGTCTAAAACTACTGATATATGACTAACTGACAATCAAGTAACCTTGAATGCTCTATGCAAGGTAAACTATTTTCTCTGCAAGGATCAACCAACCAAACAGGCGTACGTGACAGAGATATTCTCTCAGTAATTGTTTACTTTTTTGTCATTTAAATGACTAACAAGATATCTTACTAGTCATTCAGTGATTCTTGGATTATCTACGTATATAACAAGTTTGGTACACATTATTTACATGTGCCGTGTGCATATGTGCCAACTTGTGATTGAAGTCAAGATGGTAATTTATCTATAAAATCCTTTTTTGTTTCCCTAAAGATTTGTGTTGAAGCTTTGCCTGTTTAGCTGTTGGGACTTTGTTTTGGTCTCAGAAAGGAGGATGTGTATGGGTAAATAAAGCCTGCATCTTTTTAAGGATTACTTTCTTTCATGTATATATTTGTAATGGTAGAGCTTAGAGCATAGTAAGCTTTAGTTTACTGAGGACTCTCTGTTTTCCTTCCCTGTCCTGTAACTCAACAGTTATATTGGGAAGGATGTTCAGACCAGTGTAACAAAGTGGATCATAGAAACATTTTTGCTGCATGTTCTTTGTGAGGGGGATGGGATGCATGAGTGCATTAAAAGTTAAAACATAGCCCTGAACGTATGAAGCATGATCAGAATGAAAATTTGAAACATAATTGATTATTGAGAGCTTTATGTGATTCAATTATTAACTTGTAGCATTTGAAAAACAGTGATATAAAAATATTTGTGGCAGATTTCACATTTACAATATACCTAAACTGACTGCTCTTTGTGTAGGCTTTTTGCGGCCATGGGAGCAACCTCCATCACAGGATTATCAGAAACACTTTTGATCTCTGGTCAGTTAGTCCTCTCAGGAGACATTATGTAGTGGTATGTTTCGTACTAGTCAACATGGTTCTCTGCTAGTCACTAGTTTTATACAAAAATTAAATGCTGCTTTGTTTTTATTTTTATTTTTCATTTTTATAGTTTGTCTCCTGTTTGGAATTATGTACTATGTAAACTGAAATCTGTCTTGTCTAATGTTCTACTATCTTTTTTTAATGCCTCTGCCACTACTAGGGTTATTAGAGGAGAATTGTGTCTAATGATGCAAAATTGTAAAATATTCCAATGTAACAACACATTTGCCCATGTATTTGGCCATTATTTAATAGAATGGCTTTTAATTGACATTCTTGTTGAGTTTCTTGCGCAGATTACAGTTAATTTATACATTAAGTTTTATTTTATTTCTGTAAGTTTTCACTTAATTTATGTATAACTTTTAGTGTGCAAGATGATTTTAGCGGATTGCAGTATTGTTGTGTCTTTGCTTGCCATTTTGATTTTATAAAAAACTTATAAGTTTAACTTATTTTATTTCTTCAATTTCTTTTTCTCTTCTAAGAAATTATTGGAAACTTTATTCGAACTATAATATAGTTATGAATCAAATTCTATAAGGTTACTACAATTTTTTTGTCATTTAAAGTTATTTATTCATAATAAGCACCTGCCACCCAAACTTTGAGAATATGCAACTTACGTACCGCGGAATTCGTCACGTTTGAGAATCAATGTTGGAATAAATTGTTTAACTTTCAATTTTGACATTTTTCTGCCTTGTTTGTTTTGGAGGAATAGGAAGAAAACATAAAAGAAAGAAGAAGAGAGAAATATTAGATTTGTATTGTTTATTAAGGCAGGAAATAGGAAAAACGGAAGTTTTTATAGACCTACAAGAAAAATAATGAAGACTTCATTATTTCATATTTTTTGTTTAAGTCAAAATATATTATTTTAAAACTAAAATTAAAAAATTAATAGATAAATTATGATAAAAATGAATGGAACAAATAAATTAATAATAATTTTATGATAAAACAAATAATAGATAATCCGACCGTCACCTGCAAGCGCAAAATGGTTGATATTCTTGAATAGTTTATCTTCTTGTCAAACAAGATTCTGAGTTTCACAAATAACTTTCCCCAATGTATAATCCAAATGTTCATTTTTGTTATTCCATTACGATGGGAAGATATATGAAGAAATTATAGAGACGTAAGAAGCAATTACCAAAAGAAACCCCCCATGGAAGAATGCAATTTTATGATTTTTCTTCAATTTTGGGGTTCGATTAAAACATAAATTATGGAAATAGGCTTAGACTATATTTGGTTTTAAAGTTCAGAGAGTGTTTTTTTTTCCTGATTGAAATGCATAATTTTGAATTCGAATACAATCTTAAAGGAAAAAAATAAAATTGGAACTCATGTGTTTAAAATTTTGAAATTTTCCTAAATTTAACATATCAATGATGAAAATAATTCTGAATTATATATTCTAGATTTTTTCCCCCAAAACGTTTAATCCGAAATTATGTACATGATGTTTATTTTCTAGAATATGTATTTTAGTTCTTTTCAAAAAATATTTTATTATTTTCTGAAATGCATAATTCAAAATATGTACAATTTAAAATCTTTTTGGTAACATTCTTCGGAATGTGTCAAAGATTTCAAAATTATCATTTTTTAATTAAATATACTTAGGTGCAGGAAGAAAAGGGTGGGGTGTTGAAAGAAAATCCGTCCAGCACGTTCAGGAATTCTTCTAATTGTTATTTTAGTCCCAAACAAAACTTTATAAAATTGTTAAGTGAATGTAATTGGGTGTTTTATTTTTACTAACTGGTGGAGTTATTCCAATTTAATCATTGGTCTTTGAGGGAGAGTTTTAGCGTTTATGGTAATTTTATTCATCTCGAACAAGATTGTTTGCCATGAATAATACTTGTAGTTTTATTTTTACTTTTTCTTTAAGAATAAGGGGTTTCTCTTATTGTAATTGTAGGAGGGAAATATATTAATATCAAATCATCCATGCTTTCTTTTGGTAAAATTCATACAGTTTTGTTTTGTATTTTCTATTTGTTATCTTGTTTATTTATAAATATCTATTGGTCTCCCATAAATTGTGTTATTTACATTGGATTCTAATAATTTAGTTTTTATAACTTTTTGTGTTGTAAAACTTAAATGAATGATTTGATATTCCTATAACAGTATTAATGGTTTTAGGCACGAGTGACATAATTAAGAAATATGAGTTGCAAACCTATTTAATAGGCATCATGATTTACTTTTAACATTTGAAGAGGCAAACATTTTTCTCATAAATACTTATACCAACTCATTTGAAATCATAGCAGGAGAAACATTGAGAGATTAAAATAAAATAAAGTGCTGACAACTTCTATTTTCGGCCTTCTTGTTGCCAACATTATTTAGTTTAATTTTCTATGCATATATGTACTATTACCAACAAATTGACGTCAGAGCTTGTGTGTGAGGTGAGCATGAGAGAACCTACCAAACCTCAAGAGAGAACGTCGCGGTGTGCGCTGGCTGTGAAAGAGAAAGGAGCGACCGAGAGCTTTGTGAGGTGTGTGAGTTGAGTGCAAACACTTGAGAGAAATGGCAGGTCTAACCAATGGCATCCCGCTACCCGATTTGATGAAAGACGCCAACTATGACAACTGGAAGGTACAAATGAAGACCCTTCTCGGCTCCCAAGATAATTGGGATGTGGTCGAGACTGGACATGAGGAACCGGCGAATACAGATGGTTATTCAAATGCCCAGCTGAGTGTGTTGAAGGTAGTTCGAGCTAAAGACAAGACAGTTTTGTATATGCTATACCGAGTCGTCGACGAATCCGGCTTTGAGAAGATAGCCAACACAAAATCTTCCAAAGTAGTATGGGATACACTTAAAAAAACAAACAAAGAAGACGAACGGGTGAAACAAGTTCGACTTCAAACCCTTAGGGGCGAGCTAGAAAACATGAGGATGAAAGAGTCTAAAAACGTATCCAAGTTCATTACTCGGGTGGAGACTGTGATGAACAAGCTGAATCGGAATGGTGAGAGTCTTTCATCAAACCGAGTTGTTGAAAAGATTTTGAAATTATTGACGGATGATTTCGAGAACATCGTGTGTGCAATAGATGAGTCCAAGGATCTATCAACGCTCATCCTTGAAGAGCTTGCTGGATCCCTGGAAGCACATGAGTAGAGAAGGAAAAACAAGAAGGGGGAGTCCCTTGAACAGGCTCTCCAGGCGAAGGAGACAATAAAAAGGGAGAAGGTGCTTTATGCTCAAAGTAACAGAGGCCAAGGAAAAGGCAGAGCCCAAGGTGGTAGAGGAAGAGGAGGATGAGGAAATGAGCAAGTCAGCCAACAGAACTGGTGTGGCCAAGGTCAAGCTCGGCATGGCTGGGCAAACACAAACAATATTGAATGCTATAACTGTGGGAAGAATGGACATGTTGTCAAGGATTGTTACTCGGTAAACTGCTACAACTGTGGAAAGCTTGGTCATATTTCCAAAGATTGTAGGTCCGAGAAGAAAAAGGAGGAACCAACAAACTTTCTTGTCGAGGAAGAAGATGAAGGATTGTTGATGGTGACAAACATTCCAAAAATTGAGGTCATACCGAACTGTTCTAATAACTCGGTTTGGTACTTTACACCGGTGCAAGCAACCATATATGTGATGACGAGCGCTTATTCAAAATACTTTCAAAGGTGAAGTCTGGATCTGTTTCTTTCGACGATGCTTCGAAAGTAGCTGTCAAAGATCGATGAACGATCTGGTATCAACAGAGAAATGTACACATCAGAGAGATCAGAGATATATACTACGTACCTGATCTCAAAAGTAACATACTGAGCATGAGACAATTAATGGAGAAGGGGTGCTCGGTTCTGATGAAGGACCGAGAACTACAACTGAAGGATAAACTCGAGAGGCTTATTGCTCAGGTAGAAATGAAGAAAAATTACATGTACAAACTTGAACTAAAAATAGTTCAAGATAAATGCATGCAACTTGATATGGAGGATGAGGCCATGAAGTGGCATTTTCGGTTCGGTCTTCTTCACTTCGGTGGGATGACTGAGCTGGTGAAAAAGGAGATGGTGCTCGGACTGCCTAAAATGGAATTCAAAAAAATATTCTGTGAAGAATGTGTGATCGGGAAGCAAGCGAGGACTTCTTTCTGAAGGAGTTCTGAGTATCGAGTAAAGGAGCAACTCGGATTGATCCATACCGATTTGTGTGGGCCGATAACTCCAGAATCATTAAGTGGTAAGAGATACTTCGTCTCTTTTATTGATGATTTTTCGAGGAAAACGTGAGTTTATTTTCTGAAAGAGAAGTCATAAGTGTTTGAAACTTTCAAGAAATTCAAAGTGATGATGGAGAAAGAAACAAACAAAATCATCAAAGCAGTCCGATCTGACAGAGGAACATGAGATCAACATGAGATCTCCGTATTTCTTGACTGCCCCATATTCTCCGCAGCAAAACGGTGTAGCGGAACGAAAGAACCGAACCATTCTTGATATGGTTCGATCTATGTTGAAAGGGAAGAATATGCTAAAAAAGTTTTAGGCAGAGGCGGTACAGTGCGCAGTCTATTTGCAAAATAGATGTCCACATGCAAAACTAGGCGAGAAGACGCCTCAAGAGATCTGGAGTGGTATGAAGCCGAGTGTCTCTCATTTGAAGGTGTTCGGTAGCGTGGCCTATGGGCAAGTACCAAGTCAGCACAGGACAAAATTAGAAGATCGGAGGAAGAAGTATATATTTATCGGGTATGATGAAAAATTTAAAGCATATAAATTGTTTGATCCTGTCAACAAGAAAGTGGTGATGAGTCGAGATGTTCACGTGGAGGAAACAAAACAATGGTGTTGGAGTAACCTGACTGAAGAAGAAACTAGCTCAAAAATTGTTGCGCCTTCAACAACAACAACCCCCGAATCCTCAGATGAAGAAACCGAGCCACAACAGTCCAGGATGAGAAGTCTGCAGGAAA